GGATTGATGGTGTTGATAAATTTATAAGATCACGGCAGCGATGTGTCTATAAATTTCGCATTGAGAGCCATCATTTTCCTTGCCAGTGCTAGGGAGGAGGAATAGACGGATAATTAACTGTCGCAAGCGAGAGGTATGCTGAAATTGTGTCTTTCTGGGTCGGGCTGCTCTAGACGGTGGATCGAAAGGGCTTCAAATTCTCCGCATGCAGTTCACGTGATCACAGGAACCCTAGAATGCTCGCAGTAGAGCCAGTACTGACATTGTCATGAGGACAAAGACCGCACAGAAGATATGAAGGTTATTGAAACACCTAGAGAAGATTTTTAGTACAGTCTTATGCGAAAAATTTTTAGGAACGAATAAGTGAACGTGACTGTGACGGAGATAGAAGGCGCGTAACGGATAGTTCTGACAATAAAGAGCCGATGGTACTGGAACTCAAAGTTTTCATTAAAGTAGTCGACGATGTAGATGGAAAACGCTTCTAATAAATGCATATTTTCACAGCAAACAGTATCCCTGCCTTGGCAACTGCGTCAATCAAAGTCCACACTCATTTGAAAATTTCACCCCCTTGTTCATTTGCAAGACTAAATTTCATAAAAACACTTTTTTTACCAAGGGATAATTACGAATGTCAAAGGGTCGACGAGAAATGCAGCCTAAAACAAGGTAAAAAAATTGGTTATGAAGCAAAAAACTGCAGTTCAACTTCTTAAAATCTATTTAATCATGTATCCAATGCAACAATTTGAGGAAAAGGTATGCCCTGCCAGCAGGCCCTTCAAACTGGTTTTATGGATCCTTGGGTCGCATTTAACGCGATACCGACGCCTACGGACGTACACGAATGCGGACCAATTGCTGGTCTCCATTGGTCAGATCCTGTCATTGAAAACATCCGACTGGGTGATCGAGTCGATATTACAGGGGGCTGCTTCCACTTATCTGGTCGCCATGTGATCTACTGATTCCTCAGAAAGATCCACACGATCAAAGCCGTTTGGGCTTATAAGGCTGAATCGAAGGAGCACGGCTTTAGATTTGAATCCCATCACTTTTAAATCCGAGGACTTGGACTTTGCGACGAAATTAATAGCTAAGAGGAGCGTACGCTACAACCACGTAGAATGGCAAAATTCTTGAAAGCACTCAAAGCGCCACTGCTCAAATCGGTTGGTTTTGATCAACTGCCACTTTTGACACATCGTAAGTTCGTAACCGGGTCGAAGCACGCAGTACCACTAGAAATGCAGAAAAAAATCAGAAGCGCGAGTGTGGGAAAACACGAGGCACTTCCACTGTCAATTTCAACCTTCATGCTGGTAGCACAAACTTCACACCCCCTTATCCATCTTCCCGATCGTCAGTTAACTTTGTCACAACCCATCTGTCTTCCACCTTCTTCATGTTTCCCGTGTCTCTAGCCATCAGCATCTAACTCGTACTAACAGGACTCCCTGAAGTCACCTCGTACCGCAGCACACGAAACTTCCAGTGCCCTCAAATAGTCATCAACCGTCACCCTTTAGTTACTGTGACAATCTCGTCGCCTCCGTGGTACGAACACTAGCGCGATCTGATGCGGTTACCCTCCCAACATCAGCTCAGCAGACACCAAGCGAGCGAGACTAACTTCGGAATTTTACTCACCCCTTGATTGCGGCAGTTTGGAGATATTCCGGCTTTATCGCCTGATTGACTACTTCTGACTAACCAAGAATACTTTTTGATCCTTCTGTTTATGGTAATGAATTACGCAGCACACCCTCACGAAACCCAGTAGACCAATGGAATGCTTGGCACAGGAAATCAACTGAAATGATGGGCAGCGCCTATGAATGACAGCATAAATCGGCCCTGCCCTCAAAAGTACGTCAACTCTCGTTTCACCGTAACGCTGCCACAAAAGCGCTGTTCGACCAACCTAAATACTGAGTGCCAATCCGCTGTCATCAGTGAGCAGACGACTTGAGATCAATGCAGGTGAACATTGACTTTGCAAGCGGTGAACTAAATGTACCCCTCAATCACACCCGTGAGTAGTTGACATCCTCCGACTACAACGCATACTATGGCTTTCGTACAAATGTGAGCAAAATACACTATAAAATAATCTGGTTGTCAGCACAATGTGTTGTCGTCACCGTCACTGTCATCGTCGTTGTCATCGCCGTCAGCATTATCACCAATTTTGTCATTATTAGTGTCGATGGCCACGGGAGTCGCCATCTCTCCGTGCATGTCGGTGCTCGTTTCTTTCGAGAAGGCACTCAACTCTACACGTACTCGATAGATTCCGATCAGCAGCTTCTGGAATGGGCCAAAGACCTGCAAAGGAAAAATAAGGAGACATCTAGAAACCCCTTCTTCGGGCCGAAATACGCCTATGGCCCACACAAACCTGGGTCTCATGATCCCACCTCTGGTACATGGTAATAGAGTTGAGGCCACCTTTATTCAGTCGATTGCCCAAGACGAACACCCGAAAACCAGGCAACTCGTCGACGTCAATCGGACTGCTGCTTGAGGACGTGTCTATAGTCCTGAAGTTCCGTACTGGGTTCAGACACACCGCGGGCGTGTGTGACCCGTTGAAATAAACGAGGTTGTAGACGGGCATCGATTGACTACAGCGAGGGGCTATTACCTGGCCATCCTACGAATGCATGGAAAAAGTGCATAGGGTGTGAAGTATTTATAAAAGGATGAAAACGGGATGGGGGAGAGAAGCAGGTAAAGAATCAGGGAAAGAAGAGGAGCGTAGATACCCCTTTACCCACCTGTAGATCCACACAGACTACGTAGAGGAGAATCAGTTCGTCCATTACTGAGCCCTGACTAATACTACTAAAGTGGTCTGAGTAACAAGGAGGCGTGTTGAAGGTAAGTTGTAGAAGGGTGGTCGATTTGACGTTGGAGACTATCTGCACAGGGATGAAGCTCAGAGAGCGCGGAGTGATGGATTGCTGTGTGGTAGGGTGACCGGGATCGATTAGTCTAGTATCCGGTGGCAGACTTCCACGCACTAGATTGGTCAAGTAGTGGTCCATCCTGCCGAGACAAATGCACGCAACAGATAGGCGACTTAACTATCAACGTAGGCTTTGATTGGGTTGGCATAGACTTGTGCAACGCCACACCTATGTCACCAGTCTCTTAACTCTTCTGCAGGCTTATGGAAGAGCCACTTAGCTTTGTATACTTTATAATTGTTTTTAGAGATAAAACGAAGGCTGTGGAAATAAACGATAGCGACCGATATGTGAGTGTCGAGAGAGGTGAATCTTACATGCGATTGGCAGCGATGAGCGCCTCTTGGATGGCTGCATTGCCGAGGTGACGCGCTAGTTGGAGAGGCAATAGGGAGCGTTTGGTGCGCGGCGCCACTGCACTGGGGAGCGGGTTGGCGCCATACGCCAGCAACTGACCCACGACTGCCGTGTGTTCGCCGCGAATCGCCTAGTTCGTAGGCGAGAAGAGGAATGAAGACAAATACACCGACGTTTAATTCAAACAACTGTCCCATTCGTCGACGAAGTGGTGTCGTATATCTGTCTAGTGGCTTCGATTTTTCAAAGTCACGCTAAATCTACCACCACGAACAGAATGCTCTAGCTTGAAGGAGGCATGATTCAATACATCTACTTGACTTCTAACCTTTAAGCCATGATTTAAGATTTCACTTGTTAGGCTTTTAGCATTTTTGATTAACTTTATAACAGCAGTCAAAAAGGGACTGCTTGGCTAACCCATGAATTACGTGGCGAAAGAAGCCCATCGTACTTTGTCATAACGGCAAAAATGGAAAATCTTCGAGGATCTGATTTATTTTATTATGCTCATTCAATTTATGCAAAAAAGACCCACTTCGTCCTCAGTATCTCATCAGTGGAAAAGCAATCATCCCAGATGCCCCAGGTAATTGACTAATTGAAACGGTCGGACAAGAAAACGAAGGCCCCAAAGCGAGAACAGTGAACTGAAAAATAAATAAAAGGACTTACCAAAAGTAGTGCTGTTTCCGACTTTGCATTAATGGCGTCAGGATCGGCACCCCACTGAAGGAGCACCATTGTGGTCATTGTGTGACCCTGTGCAGCGAAGCAGACCAATAAAATGGAAATTTTCTCAGCAACTAAGGTGGCTCATACGCATTCATATCAGAGCGAGAGCCAGGTAATGCCGCTTTTTCGTTAAAAAAAGAGGAAGAGGGTTAATTTCAGGTAAATAGAAATAGTGAGCTCACAACTGCTGCTGCGGCCATCAAAGCAGTGGTCTCTGTTTGAAACGCCTTAGCGTCCACTTCTGCTCCAGCGCGCAATAACATTCCCGCAATGTCCGCAAAACCTGTGAACATTTCCAAGCAAAATGAAAGTCTAACAGTGATATATGTGGTGGGTGCTTTGGAATGCAGTTCACACGTTTTCCTGTCACTGACAAGTAAAAGGTCATTTTCGCTCCCGCATCTGTAAACCAATGAGGATACAGCTAGTGTAAAAATAAATCACTTTTAGTTCCCATTGACTGCTAAAATTGTTTATTCGAGATGGCCGAAGAATATGCCTACGAGCATGAACAACTCACCATAAGCTTCAAGAACACGGACTTGGAAAAGCAGAAACCAATAAATGACCTTAGTTTTCTAACCAAGTGACGACCAGGAGTAGGCCCTTCTACCCTCCCACTTTAACACTTTCTAGTGCTGTGAAAAAGGCCAGGGTAATAGTAACAAGCTGAACGTGTTTTAGTAACCTAAGGAAATATTGCAAAAAAATACATGAGCACCAATTAAGAAATAGACCAGAGAACTGGAGTAATAGAGATCCAACGGCGCCAACAATAGTCACATATAGTTGTAATTGTCGTTGAGATAGTTACCGGCAGTTATATCTAAAGCATTAATTACTCTATAATATTTCTCAATAAAAACGCGTTCAACACAATGGTCGCATATTAACATTCAGTAGTCGGTAGGGCCATTTCAGAAGCTAAAAACGATCCAATTTCCTCTCTAAGCCACTCAAACATAAAAAACCTCTTGTCAACCTTTCTATCGAAGGGTTTTTACCCCTTAGTTGTGCATAAGCCCACTGGACAGATGGCAGTAAAAACGACGTCAAAACCTAACCGAAAAATAATGCTTCATAGGAGTACCTTGTCTTGCCGCAAGCATCAGGAGGCGCGGTTCCAGGGGAACATTCACGTTGGGGGTGTTGGGAAGGGAAAGAATCCGGCAAACCTCATCAGTGTCTCCGATAAACACGGCGTCCTTGAGAGCTGCTTCGTCTGATGCTGAAAAGCAAGGAGAAATACCCCAGTTACCATGGTCCTAAAGTTTGAGCACCAGTAATCTGCGGCAATATCGAGGGGTACTTACTCGCTTGAAATTGAGGCCGAAATGCCTTACTTTGACGCACAAATGGCAACGGCTAAAAGAAATAATTTTCAGTAAATCCCAATGGTTTTTCAGCATAAATGTGGAGTGCTTTCATTAGGTACCTCAGCCGCAATAAGGGCTGCAAAAACATGAAACAAGCCTATCTTGGAAGCCCACTGTTACGACTCAAGCTCGCATGGCTAAGAATGTAGTGTTCAACTCGAAATGAAGTTGAACAGGGAAGAACACAGTCGAAATTGGTTACCGTAAGTTAATTAAGAAGCTATTTAGCTGGTAAATGACAATGGTTGGAGAAGACATGACATTTCGTGACAAATACCGTGAATTCACAATTCATTGAAGATGCAGAAACCACTAATTTTCCCATTAGTACCTGCAAAGACCAATACACGGAGGACTCAAATAAGATGATGGTACGTACCAAGGCTGGAGGTTTTGCAGAAATACCCGAAGGCGGCACTAAATGCGGAAAGATAATGTTAGAATTGCGAAATCACGATCTTACGTGTGCATGGATCGATCAAGGCATTGGCCTTAACTGTCAGCTCAGTGGAACCATTTCCACTGTCTGCAGCAGCTTGATTTTCAGAGTTTGAGACGGACAATATCTATGAGAAAAAGAACAAACAATGTAAACTGGTCCTCGCATTTTTATTTACCAAAAATCCTCCTAGCGATAAAATTAGCTAAGATAGAGCAAGACGATGATTATTAAATTCCAGCTTCTAACCGGCCGATCTCGGCATTGCCGGTGTAGAGCTCCGCTCATTTCACTCATGTCTGACCCCCTCTATCAAGTGTGGCAATAGGTTTATAATTATCACCATTTTAGAAGGAATTCAGGACGCGTTGATGCTAGCTGGTAAGAGACGTGCATTAAGCTATAGTCAAAATACATTAAAAAGTAAATGAAGGCACAAAACAGGGGTTAAAATACACAGGAATCTAGAAGGAGCCATATTAGTTGGAAAAAAGTTTGCCAATTTCAGCACTATTTAAAAGAGAACAAAGTGGGATTCGAGGGCCAAACTAGATCACTTCCGGGAACTGTGATAGATAAGTCAGAGAAACAACTCACACGAGACAAACTTTGGGACAGTGGACTTTCCTGGGCTTCTCTCAAAAGACGCGGATCACGTGAGGCGTCAACGCTCATCGATCTTCACTAAGGTTCAAAGTTCAAGAAACATGTCTAACCAAACATACAGAACCCCATTAAAGGTAAACAGGCACGAGCAAGCTTATTTCACGTGTTTGTAATTTCTTCGTTATTACTCGCCGGCACTCCCTTTATAATTTCTATAAATAACACTAATTAACAGCCCCTTCAATGTCACTATTCAAACGTGAAACATGTGTAACACAGGAGATGCACGAGAAGTAAAGTAATTAAATTGCACCAAGTTATTATTACCGGGCGGATTGAACTAGGCGAAATAGCAATGTCAACCTAAAAATACCTACTCTAACATAGCAGAACAGATGGAGAGGCCAAGGTTTGCATGCGTTTCAAGATGGAAAAACGGGGTCCGTACACGGGACGGACGAAATCATCAAAAAAGTGCTAAACGCGCACCAGACTAACACTCATGGGGAGAACAAGTTGAATACTAACCCAAGATAAAAAAGCAAATTCCGGAGGGGAAACACGGCAGAAACACTGCCTTTTGCACTTGAAATCGACCAGCACCAATTATTCTCATTATTGCCACTTAGTATCAAAATTCAGCAAGTAATACAGTGGTAAACATTGGCAAGTTCTGCCGGAGCTAATAATGGCTAAAAGCAAATAAGTGTCTATTGATTTCATAAAACCAAGGCATGCTAATACCGACAGACAAACCACATCGAGAAACCCCGAATAAGGGATGAGGTGAATGGCTCCAGCTGCAAGAACATGCCAGTTAAAACAAGTCTTGTTGAAAAATGGATCTCATCTCTAATTTACAAAAAGAAACAAAGACAATAGTGTGTAAAAAAGCCTAGAAGATGAAACATAAACAGATAACTGAAGGGCCTGAAACTTAGGGAGATTATGACATAGCTTCTTTTGCTAAAACTGTGAGTTGAACATCCAACGTTTAGCAAAGGCGCTTCTCCAGCTTCCCTATGAACAACCTTTTGCGTCATTCATTACAGTTTAGTCAGTGCTGTAAAAAAATTCAAGCTGAAAGATACATGGCTGCGAGGTCTCTGATCTGTCTTAATGGCTTTACTAGACCCGGATTTTCTAATTGTATGAGAGCTAGATTTGGGAGAAGCGATTTTAGTGACCATCATGCACGTCAGTGGGTAGTATAGGGACACTGGCCATACGACAGAGTCGTATATGAAAGATGGTATTAGTCACAGTTTCGGAAAGGTAGTTTTGCCTTGCTTCCTCTTTACCAACTGTTTACTTCAGTCCTTCCAGCTATATCTATTTAGATTCTATCCAGTTAGAGGAGATGTGGAGGAGGTATTGCGGTTTCGTGCATTTGGCATCTCCATACAAAAACGGCAAATAGACTCACAACAAAAGTTTTTGGATAATTTACCGGTAGTTTTACTTCAGCTATTAAAACTTTTTTGCAGAACATAATTTTAAGGTACTTGCCGAACGTAAACTTGATTTTGACCTCCTTGTTGAGGATCTTTACCAGTCCTTTCATTTAAAGTATTTGCACTTGTTCCACCTTGCTAGGATGTCCTTCAGGATTGGATATGCTTTCCACTGTTGCCAATGCAGAGTCGCGAGGCTTTCGTAAAAACAGTGGAAAACATAATACATATTCGGCATGAGGAAGGAACCAGGGCCTTTAGTCATTTCTAAGGGCTGGCTAAACTAACAAAAGTGAAATGACAATGACTCAAGGTGCCCCGTTCCACCTCAACCGAGAGTTAGACATCCAACTTATTACGACTCTATTCCGAGAGCGGTTATAAAATAATTTGCCGTGGAATGTTATTTGTCGTTTATTTGCAAGTAATACACTTACCTGTAAGCTCCGCAGTTTTGTTTTTTAGAGAAGGTAAAAAAGTTGTTAAGCAGCATGTGAACCTAAATGCAATCCGACCGTTGCTAAAGCTGGACATTTTGCTTAGGCGTGCAAAAACATAAAAGGGAAATACGAATCTTTATTACTTATTTTTAATTCTGATTTTTGAGCAGCTTTAACTGTACTATGAATTTTTCTTTAGAATACGTTCTTTTTAACCTTGAAGTTCATTTTCTTGTCTCTTTTACGCACCGCGTGTTTTGGGTTTCCTGTCTTCGGCGATCCTGCGTGAGCTACAAATTAAAATGAATAGTGTAAGGATTTCATACCTTGTTCTGCACTACGTCATATACTTCACTCTTTTTAAATCTTATTTTGGTTTTTAATTTTGTTGGTCAATGTGCTTGTAACCATGCATTTGTGAAATTATATTTTGTGGGCTTCCCGCGTTCTGTTTATCTGGTAGCTCAAAAGCACAGTTTCTTCCACTGTTTTACCTCCGGTCTTTTCCCCTTAGAACTCATGTTTTTTGCTTAATCTTGCTCTTGGGTCCTTTTGTAGTTCCTTCTTTGTGAGGTATAATTTAATTGCATTTATTAAATTTAAATCAACTTCCCAAGGCTAGTTAGTTTTGTGATAAATTCCTTCAAGCGCAGGTCTTTTTGATGTTACTATTAGAACATGGTACTTTTATCCGTATTTTGCTTTCCTTTGATATTTTTCTTGACTGAACAATCATACCCTCTCGTCAATTTTGATGTATCTTCATGTGGCGTTGAAGTGAAACTTAGTATCCTTATGTTTATTCTAGTGTTTTCGTCTTTTTTTACTCAGTGCCAAATGGTTCTGCATTTTTGTCCTCTTTACGCTCTTTTATTACCATTAAGTCTTCCTTATTAAATAAAGATTTATATTCCCTTGTAGATTGTGACGGCTTTGTTTACTTTAACTCTTGCGAGTTGGGCCTCTGCTTCAGGTAAATTTTTCAATAACGAAATCTTGGGGTTTCTTCTACTTGTATATTTTGCAATCATGCTTGTTGCTGTGAAAAACATGCACCGTGCTTTATCTAATGCAAAACCATTTCCGAAATTTCCAAAATGGATAAATTTCCGGGTTTATTCGGGATGGATTGTTATACTTATTTTTATGCTCTCAGTGTTGGGGTAAACCTCTTCTCTATAATTACGACAAATTTTGTGAGACTCGAGTGTAACACATACAATGAAATTCGTATCTTTTGTATTGCACTAATTTACTTCTATCACAAATTCACTTCTTGAGCTTTGTTAATCTGGCTGGTATCGCTTTTTTTCCTTCGCTTTTGGAAAATAACTAACTGCGAAATCTTATCCGCGTTATGAAAAATTTATTCTGACTCACTTTCCTATGGTCGTTATCATCGATTGGTGCTTTTGGTTTTTCCGGTAAATGTAGCTCGTCTGACTCTGTCGATCGTGTTTCTTGTCGATGCATTTCTATCCTCTGGTGCTCCCGTTCTCCTAGCCGTTCGTTCTAATTCCTCCCAACATATTCGAATTTCCGCATATGTGCAAATTCTATTACCAACTTCAAATATGCAACTTTTCTGTTGCCGTCAATTGGGCTGATTTCACTGATTCCAGTTCATTTGACCTCCTTTTCCGTAGCCGGATCAGTGACTCCCAAAGCGGAATGCAAATTTGACAAGGGTATGTGCGGCTGGAGAAGCGATCCAACCAATCCTTGGTTAATCACTACTCTCAACAAGAGCACCCCACAGTTCCCGTTGCCAAACTCAAGTTGGCCTATCCTTTGCCTCTCAAAGGAGGTCCTGCAAGAAGCCAATTCAGGCGAATCCTGGTTTGCGGACGACGTTAATCCTTCGGTTTTTAAGACACCTCAATATCTTATCCGAACCCGTCTTCGCAGCCCCAGTGTGCCTGCCTCTCTCGGTCTCCGTTGTCTTACTTTCTCCTCCTTCTTCAATCTGGGCAGACGTGTGGGTGCTGCAAGCGGCCATTTGGGTCTAGCTCTTCTCTTACAAAAACCCGGGTGATTGTTCATCTCTGTCTAAACATCCTCCATCCAATAGGTAAAGGAAGAGAATGTGAATCAGGTTTTGAAGGGGAGAAAGGGGCAGAGTGGTTGTTTTAATCAGCTACCATCGGTCCTTTCCTTTGTATCTTTTCTCGATTTTGTGATTTGCTTTCCTCCCCCGCCTTGTCAGGCACAATTGTCGGTGTGCATACCTTCTATTCGCACACTTGTGGATGGGTAAACGAAGCAGCCAACTGACAGCATTGGTGGATGCTGAAGCAGCAGGGTAGTTGGTTTACCCGCTGTCCACTGCAGTAACCTGCGAGACCACAAATGAGAAGCCTACAAGTCCATTTTGGTTTCCTCAAGTAAATATCGACGCAAGGAAAGTGAAACATCGTTGCTACTACTGAAGTGCATTTTTGGAGTCTCCCAGTTTCGGAGGCGATGGCCCTGCATCGCTTGCAGTTTTCTTCCCTTGGTCCTGCGGGGTTGATGAGAATGAACCCGTCACGATGGCAGGAAGTGTGACTGGCTGCTTTTTTCTATGGTCTCTTAATTTCGTTTTATGGTAACTTTTTGAAAGGCGAAGCTAACGATCGCGATCGAATCGCTCTTTTTCCTCTTTCATTTTCACCAGGGTTGTCATGGTCGATCAAGCCGCTTGCTGTTTGCGATTTTGACGATGAAGAGACGTGCGGGTGGATGCATGAAGAAGCTGTATGGTCACACCGATGGGCGATTGAACAAGGCTACCTATGTCTTGCGGCTAAAGTGCCCTCCTCATCATCTAGAAAAAAGACTTCTTGGGTATCCAGCCTCTCCAGTGGGCAGAGGAAGCCCACTGCAGATGCTCATGTCCGATTTGCCAGTGCTCCCATTTCTGCTGTTGTCGGAGTAAAGTGTATCGTCTTTGTGTATTCTATTAATTTAGCACGAGGAAAGGCGTCCAACTTGGGCTCGTCTTTTGGCAGTTTAACATTGTTGCAGCAACAGGAAGGGTGCGTTTCCAATTCGTCTTCAATTTGAACCGTTACGTCGTTTCTGACTAATCTTCCCTGAAATTGAGGGACTTATCAGTGGCTCTTGCTCACTTGTTTCTTAGTCTACTCTCCAATCATCCACAATCGGTCTGTTGATTGTCTGTCGCTCATGTAATTCCGCCTTTCGGTACAGATCGCGCCCAACTTTATCGTTAAACACTAAAGCTATCCGCCTTAAAATAAGGCTGATACTAAAACCACTTCTATGGTAACCGAATAATCCCTCGTTCTAAAAATCCTGTAATATTTTTTTATTCTGACTCGTGGTTCTGACTAATAGGTTTATCTTTATCTGAAGCGAGCCGAACGCGTCTCAATTGCACCAATTGTAGACCTTACAACCACGTGTTGAAATGGTTTGCCACTAGATTTCAAACCAGCCACCAGTTTCTCCTTGTTGACAATGGTGGTACAAGCTTTATTCCTCCATCTCGATGTTCTGCTTTTTCTGGTACTCCTTACTGCTTTGTTCCAAACCTTCGAGATTCACTTTGCAAAAAGTGTGGCTGAGCTGCCCTCTTTTGCTCTTCTTTTCCTCCTCCCTCCAAATTTGCCAAAATCTTCCGAAGCGCTTACAATGTGGGATTACGATGACGGTCGGATGCATGATATGGTGCCCTGGTAACTAACGGGCGGTTAAACGGCAGTCGCCGTCTGTCTTATGGCCTTAGTGCCCTTCTCGTTCTCCCTCGACATGGCGTGTTCCTTGTTTCCTAGTAGCTTAAGGCCAGTGCAAGTCCCTTGTAGGCATTCTTGTTCGATTCGACATTCTTCCTGTATGTGCTGTCTTCGAGTTAATGTCCCCTTCTCGAATATTCCATGAATCTCAGGTGTAGAAAGACTTTTGAGTCAAGTTGACTTTTTGGCAATCCGACATCGTTGTATCTTTTTTATTCTCCCTTCTACGATTTATTCTAGTGGAATATATAGCATTTTTACTGAACCTCGAGTCCACGATTAAATAAGCGGAAGATTATGCGACTTGTTTTACCCTGTTTTTTGCGAATTTATTTTTGCCGGAGTTAGTAACTTGAATTATTCCTCTCCGGTGTGTGCTTGATCTTGCATTCCCAGTGTTGTCCACTTCCTCGTTTCAAGCATTTTCACGGTTTTGTATCTAATTTAACAGGTCTTTTTAAACCTCATTGCAAAACGATGAAGATTAGGAGCTACCTCTTGTTTTTTCTCTCTCCCTCTTTCCTTCATTTTCGCTAGAGACGCCGCTCATCAAACCGGTGGCAGTTTGTAATTTCAACGATGGCGATACGTGTGGTTGGATGCATGAGGGGGCTATATGGATGCATCGATGGGAAGCCGAGCAGGGTTATCTCTGTCTCAAGGCTAAAATGTCCACATTTTCGTCCAAAATGAAAACTTCTTCATGGCTACCTGGCCTCTCCACTAGTCATCGAAAACCATCCGCAGACATTCGAGTTCGATTCACCAGTTCCCCTGTACCGTCTGCCTTCGGGTTGAAGTGTATCGCTTTTGGTTATTCCATTGGTTTGGAGCGTGAGAAGATGGATCTTTCTGATGGGTCTTTCTGCAGTTTGGCGATGTTGTTTCAAGAGGAAGGGTATTTCTTTATTAAACCATTGCTTTCAACTGGAACTTCCATTAATCCTACTTGGGTTTCTGATTCTATTCTGATCTGTCCTCATTCAAAGGCTTTAGGTATTTACACCACCTACTTTTCCATTCATTGTCCTCGGCAAGGCTGTTTATGGTCCCCCACTGCCTCTTTGATCGCCAAACGTTTAGGCTGCTGTTGAGAGGGGGTGAAATCTAGTCCCTGTAATAGAATTTGTTCCTTTTTGACGATGTCATGATTCTTCGGCCCTAATTTTGAGTCTCAATCTGTATGCGTGAAGGGCTGCGAGGTTTGTTTTGCTCTTTCTTGACTCCATAGTTGCACGATTAAGTGAACTATCATGTTTGAGTTTCTGTACAGATTTTCGAAAGATCTCCAACAATATCTACCTGACTTTCGCTCCCATGAGTTCTTCTTTGGACCTCTGCTGTCTATATTTTAAACCGATTTTGCACGTTTTATAATATAGTGACCGGGAAGTGTCGACCAAACTTTCTTTCCTCCTAATTTTTCCTTCGTTCTCGCTAGAGTCGTCGTCGTTGCTCAAGCCACTGGCAGTTTGTGATTTTGACGACGGAGAAACGTGCGGTTGGGTGCATGAAGAGGTTCCCTGGGCGTATCGATGGGCGATTGTACGGGATCGCCTCTGTCTCAAGGCCAAAGTGCCCTTAAACTCCCCGTCCAAAAAGATCTCTTCTTGGCTTCGGGGTCTTGCTATTGATCAATCAAGTGACGAAATTGATATCAAAGTTCGGTTTTCAAGTCCTCCTATTCCTGCTTCCTTTGGAGTGAAGTGCGTTGTATTTGTGTACTCGATGGATTTCGGGCGCGAAAAGACCTCGAAGCCTGTCCGAGCTTCTGGAAGTCTCTCCTTACTTCAGCAACAAAAAGGGTACTTTTTCATTCACATCCAAAGTGCTTGAAATGCCTTCACTTACCTTAAGGGGTTAGTCCTGTTTGAAAATCTTGAATCCCAAGGTGCTAATGTGATTCTCGTCACTACATTCTAACTGATCATTCAAGGTGATCTGCGTGGGGAAAAGACTTGAGTATGGTTATTTTTACAATTTCGTGTTATTAAAGCAAAGAAAAGTGTTTTTCGCTTGGTGATCGCTTCGATTTAAGGATTTTCTTGGTACTTTTGCGTTTTATGAGGAAATTATGACCTGTCTGCAAAGGGGTATTGAGTACTCACATTATCTTGCATTACGTTTGCCATCTTCACAGAAGGTGTCCATTGTGTATTTCTCATTTTCATCGATGTAAAGTGGATTCGAACTGTTACTGAGAAGGTTTGAATTGAAATTTAGATGCTAGACGTTCTCCGTTCTTGGCAACGTTGTACCTTTATTAATTTTGATACCACAGGTTACATTTGACTGTCTGTCTTTCTATTCGTTCGTCTCAATTGCATGACATTCTATTCGGTCTTGGCCTTGCAGCTACTGTTGATTCTACCTTCAACTTTCGAGCAAATATATTGCGTTCTTTTGGGGTTAAGTTGGTTTTGTCCTTGCGCGTTTCCTCCAGTTTATTTATATTCCATGGTTCAGTTTTTCAGTTTTCAGTATCCATATCTTTATTTGTCTGATTTTTGCAGGAAATTAGCTGGTAAATTTTGTTTGAGCTGTTCTTTCTTCCCTTTCATTTCCAGTGGCAGCTTCCGATTTCGACGATGGTGATGTGTTTGGTTGAATGCACGGAAAAGCCACATGAGCACATCGATGGGCAGTTGAAACAGTCTCTTTCAAGCTCACTAGAAGTACTTTAACCGAAAAGTATATTCCTTTTCTTTTATTAACCAATCAAGCGATGTAACTGATGTCAGTGATCGACTCATTAGTTATTCCTGTTTTACTATCCTTAGACTAAGGTATGTCGCCTTTATATATTCCATTGGTCATGGCCGCCAAAAGTCCCTCCAATTCTGTCGGAGCTTTTAGAAGTTTCTCTTTACGCCAGCAACATCTGTCACCCCACGGGCTGTTGTAAGAGCAGTCTCGGTACCTGTCGTGATGGTTGTTTGATGTTCAGAGAGCACTCTTAGTGTGCTTTCGTTTTCTTTCCTTCCCACATGCAGATATCTTCATGCCGTTCCACGTCTGGACCTTCGAAGAAGGGGACATGGAAGATTGGTCTAATGACAATAACAACGGGCAGCAGAAGTGGCATGTTGGGACAACACACCTACCTTCCTCCTCCATCTGTGTGTCTGCAAAAGCTTCAGGAAAGAAGTCAAAAAAATTTTTCTCTACAACTTATTCCAAGAAGACCTCTTCTCGTCTCTGGAGTCCCAGCGTATCTGGCAGTTTTGGAATCAATTGTATTACCATCCAATATGCTATCGAGAGAGCCAGTCGTGATGCCAGTCTATCTCTGCTCCAGCAAAGCTCGGGGTGCTTACTTGTCTTCTCATGCCTCCTGGCTATCGGAAACTACAGCTGATAGTAGTCTGGCAGATTCATCAAACTTGGAGACCAACACTCGCTCTTTTTTTGTTTCATGCAGAGGTTTCCTTCCAATCCAAGTATGGGCATTTGAGGACACTTTTGATGGTTGAAAGTGGCAGAGTGACAATTGCCATCAGGAATGGCGAGTTCTGTTATTGGAGAGCCGGCAAACTAGATCCATTATTTTCTCATTTACAGGTGTCTCTAATGAAGGGAAAGGGGTAGAAGAAATACCTTTGTCTATTAGAGAAGGCACTAGTGGCGGCTGAATTCGTCAGTCCGTCCATTCTCACATCTACTGCGATGCGTTGTTTCACTATCCTTTATTACCTGGACGCCACTGTAAACTTACAGCTCCTTCATTAAGGTGGATCCTGTGTTTCCAGTCAGTGTGAAGTGTTAGCGTTGAATTTAATTCCTGTTCTGGTTTTTGCCCATTTTTCACCTTTGCAAGCTTGGAGAGTTCCTTCGTCTTTTGGTCGACTCGTCGGTTTGGTTCAGGCAGTAGTGTTGGGATTGGCACTTTTCGCCTGTTTTCCCTAATTGTTATCAGCCGTTTTCGTTTTTTTTCCTGTAGAGACCCCTCCGAAACCCTTTTTTGTGTGGACCTTCAACGAAAACACAGGAAAGTGGACCAACGATGCCGCGAATTGGCATCAGAAATGGGAGCTTATTAACGGAGCCATTTGTTTGCGTAATGTGCCGTCCGAATCTGGAGAATCTGATGATACTATGTTTTGGTTATCCTTGAATACTGTAAAAGAAGACATAATCAGGAATACAAAGGCTCTGCTCTGGAGCCCGCCTATTCCACAAAGTGTTGGAATGCGCTGCATCACCATGGACTATTTGATAGACATGTTTTCTGAGAACTCTGAGGCCCATCGTCTTGCCATGCTGCAACAACAAACTGGGTGATTAGCCTCCATTTGAATGCTATTAGAATGAAGGGTACCCGTGGGTGCGGTTTTTATCCATTTCACTCGATATTTGGGGTTGTGATCCACGAGCATTTTCTTTCGCTTCCAAGATCCGCGCTTGATGGTTGGAAATTCGCTGTTTTCTGGTTCAAACTCTTAATCGGGTTATTTCATGATGATTTAGTAACAGTGCTTATTAGTACCTGTATTCTTCGGCTTCTATAAGTCGTTTTCGTTTCGCCTCCTGTAGATACGCTTCCGAAACCACTTTTCATGTGGACCTTCGATGAAAACATTGGCGGTTGGGTCAACGATATTTCGAATTATCACCAGAAGTGGGAACTCATTAATGGAGCTGTCTGCTTACACAACGTGCCAGCTGATACTAAAATTTCCTCTGGCGGTATGCCCTGGTTTTCTGCTAATTCAAGGAAGGCGGATAAGGCAACCCGGAATCCAAAAGCGCCATTATGGAGTCCTCCTGTTCCACAAACTGTAGGAATGCGTTGCGTCACGATAGATTACAACATCAGTTTTAACGGCGTTGAGTCTGGATCTTACAATCTTGCCTTGCTTCAACAACAAGACGGGTGATTATATTCAGTCTAAAGTTTCCTCGATTTGTCACTTGTTCAATTCTCATCCATTCCTTTCTCCTCACCTCCGGCATTGTGAGGTGTTTTTTTGCTTTGATTGAACTGGTGGAAATTTTTGTTCAATAAGAATCCAGAGTCCCGTGAATGGTACTGAAGGTCAATAATTCATTGTTAGTCGACATTCAATCAGTTATTTAGGTATCTATCCTTCCATTTGCATATAGATTTTCGGTTTTGATGACGAAGGTAGTCTTTTTCCTGTCCTGATTATGAATTGATTATTTCATGGTTTTTGTACAGCTTGTTTTTCGTATTCAATATTCTCTATCATCCGCTTCAGTTTTGCCTCTGGTGAACTTGTTGTGTTTGTACCTTTGATGAATCTATGCGTGATCGGACCAACGATCTTCCAAATTGGCATCAGAAGTGGCGTCTGTGAGGGGTTTAACTGTTCCTGTGATATGCCTGCTAAGCCTAAAATGAGCTTTGAACTTGCACCCTGGCTTCTTTTTGGTGATATAAAGGAAGATAAAACTATGAAGAACGCAAAAGCCTTTCCCTGGAGTTCCTTCCATTCCACAAGCCACTGGAGTGCGTTGCAATCCATGCGCTCTTCGAAGTTTGTAACTCGATTTTCGTCTTGTTAACTGAAAGTTCCTTTTTCGGTACCGCAGTGATGATTTTGACGTCGGTTTTCTCCACATTCTTCTCGTCGTTTTCGTTTTGTTCTCTGTAGATACTCCTCCGAAACCGTATTATGTGTGGACCTTCACTGAAAATACTGGTAAATGGATCAACGATATTTCGAATTGGCATCAAAAATGGGAACTTATGGATGGTGCTGTCTGCTTACGCAATGTACCAATCGAAACGGCAACGCACCCTGAAGATATACCATGGCTTTTTGAAAATGCTGAAGTTAAAGATAGAATCGCTCGAAATTCAAAGGCTCCTCTCTGGAGTCCACCTATTCCACACTCCCTTGGGATGCGTTGCATTACGATGGACTACAAAATCACTGCTGAGACCGAAGATACCGATACTTATAGTCTCGCCATGTTGCAACAACAGGATGGGTGAATACCTTCATTAGTAAACTCTTGTTGAGCTGTCGTTAGTGCTCTGACTTTCTCAACTGAAACCTCGCTTCTTTCGATTCAGTGGCTGAAACTTTTTTTATTGGTCAGAAGGCATCCTTCTGACCATCGGCTTTTGATGTCTGTAACGGTCCAAACTCTTTCGGGCTTTCGGATGCGATAGTTGGGCCTATTATCGTCCGTTTTCTCCAGTTTTTGTCAGCCGTTTTCGTTTTATCTCCTGTAGATGTTCCCCCGAAGCCATATTTTGTCTGGACCTTTGACGAAGACACAGGCGGTTGGGTCAACGATATTTTGAATTGGAATCAAAGGTGGCAGCTCATCGACAGCGCCATCTGCCTTTGCAATGTGCCAGATGAACCTAAAAAGTACACTAAAGCTCTCCTTTGGCTCTCTTTGGTGGACAAAACGGATAAAAAAGTGGCAAACAATGCAAAAGCTCCTCTCCGGAGTCCACCTATTCCCCAAGCCGTTGGAATGCGTCGCATCACGATGGGTTACAGCATCAGTGTTGATCCCGTAGAATCTGCACCGTACAGTCTTGCCATGTTGCATCAACAAGTGGGGTGACTAAATTCATCCTAACCTTCAGTCGGTTTATCGCATTAAGTCTCCAGTTCCAATCCATCCTCACTCCTGATCTACTAGTCCAATTTTTCTAATTACCACTTGAGCTTGTTGATCCGTGAAGGTGATTTTCTGAGTTACATACTGGTTTGTTTGTCCTTGGTGATCGGAATCGCAAGTAATCTTGGTAAAGATCCTCGTTGGTGCTCTCTGTCGCGATTTTGGTGATTGGACCTCAGTACCCCCTGGTTCCTATCAGTCCTTTTCTTTTGTCTTCTCTAGACGCTCTTCCAAAACCATTTTTCGTTTGGACCTTCAACGAAAACACAGGAAAGTGGACCAACGATGCTGCAAATCAGCGTCAGAAGTGGGAGCTTATGAGTGGAGTCATTTGTTTACACAACGTACCGATTGAGATCGAAGGGTCCAGTGATGATATGTCTTGGCTTTCTTTGACTGATGAAGGAGAAGAGAAAGCAACCAAGGGTGCGAAGGTTCTTTTCTGGAGTCCACTCATTCCACACGTTGTTGGAATGCGTTGTATCGCAATGGACTACCGCATTGGCGCCGATTTTGAAGTAGCTGAGAAGTATAGTCTTGCCATTTTGCAGCAGCAGGACGGGTGATTGGATACGATTCTATTTACCTTCAATGGTTTTTTCCTCACTTAGTCTTCCGGCTCCTTTAGTCTTTACTCTGACATTCCGAAGTATCTTTGCTTTCTGATCAACTCAATGTTGGTGGATTTTCACTCACTGAAGTGACTTAGTCTTGAAATGGAGTCGTCGATTATTGTCGGTCAGGTGCTTCGTGTTATGTTTTCCTCCAGCTGTTCCTGTTGCGTTTTTGTTGTTCTCCGACTCAAGTATTCTCCAGTATGTCAGCCATTTCCGTTTTGTCCCCTGTAGATTCACTTCCGAAGCCCTATTACGTGTGGACTTTCAACGAAAACGCTGGTAAATGGGTCAACGATCCTGCCAACTGGAATCAGAAATGGGAACGCATTGATGGAGCCATCTGTTTGTACAATGCACCGATTGAACCTGAAACTCCTTCTGACGACATGCCTTGGCTTTCTGTTAAGTCGCAAAAGGATGACAAAACTGATAGGCGCACAAAATCTCCTCTCTGGAGTCCACCTATATCAGAAGCTGTTGGAATGCATTGCATTACGATGAACTATCTCATCCATGTCGGTTCTGTAGTTTCTGGCGCCTTCGAACTTGCAATGTTGCAACAACAGGAAGGGTGATTGCTCTTAGTTTAGAGTAGTGTCAAACTACTGTTTGCATTGAAATTTCCAGCTCGTTTTACCTTTATCCCTGGTCCTCTGAGTTGTCGATTCCCTTGGAATTGTCGGTTTTGGTTGTTTTTTTTTTTTTCGTGAAGACGCTTGTTTTGCGCTTCCATTTCCTACTATTTCTGTTGAGAGGCTTTTCATATCCTTTTCAACATGTATTGTCAAACGGTTTGATGCGTCACTGGTGTAGTTTACTTTTCCTCCAGTTCCTGCCTGTTGTTTTCGGATTAACCCCCCCCCCCACTCCGTGACCATGTAGCGCTTTCACCCAAGGTGAAAAGATGGCAAATGGGTCAACGATACTGCTAACTAGAATCAGAATTAAGACCCAATATCTCCTTTCGCAATGTGCCTTGGCTTTCTTGGAAAGATAGGAAGGAAAACAATATTTTTAAGAATGTATGGGCTGTTTAAAAAGCGTCGTGTCACCATGGCCTGTCTCATCAATATCGGTTCCATGTTTTCTAAGTTCTAGCCTTTCCACGTTGCAATACTATTGGCTACTTGTCGTCATTAATGAGTCTTCTAGTCTGATTTGTTTATTCCTGAAGTCGCCTTTCTAAAATTTATGCTTTAATTTTCCGCTCCTGTTCACTGGAACGTTTCTACTTTCATATTAAATGTGAAGTGATTTTTGTGTCAGTGGTTTTACTTGTCCTCCATTTCCTCTAGTCTCTTTCAGTCGTTTTCGTTTTGTCTCCCGTAGACCCCCTTCCGAAGCCATATTTTATCTGGACCTTCGATGAAGATACAGGCAGTTGGGTCAACGATGCTGCGAATTGGAATCAGAAATGGGAACTCCTAAGCGGGGCCATCTGCTTGCGCAATGTACCGGTTGAACCTAAGAAGCATTCTAAAAGCCTACCCTGGCTTTCCCTAACTTCCAAAAAGGAAGACGAAGCTGTTAAGAACACAAAAGCCCCCCTATGGAGTCCACCCATTCCACAAGATGTAGGCATGCACTGCGTCACGATGGATTACAAAATCGACGTAGATTCCGAGGACTTCCGGATCTATAATCTTGCGCTGTTGCAGCAGCAAGACGGGTGATTCATTTCAGCTGAAATTTCCGTTTAGTTATCGGCAGCACTAAGACTTCTGTTTATCTCTGATGGTCTAAAGTGTACTATTTTTCCACACTGATCGGTGTTTGTGATGCTTTATATCGACTGATTCCCTCTTCTGGTAATCATACTTCTCTTCGTTTCAATTTCCAAACGTCTCAGTTTCTTGACTTAAGCTCTCCACCAACTTACTTCGTGACTGTGATGTTTATGGGTGTCCGTCAGTCATTTCAGTTCTTGTCTCCTTTGGATTCTCCGCTTGAATACATATTACACTAGAGTCTTCAATGAAAATATGTGGAAATGGGTTAATGGTCCATCAGATTGGAACGAAAGTGGGAGTGTTCAACGGAGTTCAATGTTTGGACAGTGTACTAGCTGAATTTAACTGTCGGAAAGATGTGGAACCACTGGTGTCTGATGTTTTCTTATCCGAAGCTTGTCTGTATGCCGGGCAAAAATTTCCTCTCTGTGGTGAACCGCGCTCAGCGTCTAGCCTTGATAGTTGAGACAATGTCGATCCCGTTCGGACATCGTCTCAATTAAAGGCCAGCTTTAAAAGTTGTATCCAGCGTCTGATAAACATGGGGCTACTCTAGCACGTTTTGAACATCAAGATAGGTGCCCAACTTCACTCTTGTGCTGCATTTTTCCCGTTGTTTTGGTGATTAGTTTCTGTTGAAGGTCATGATTTAATAGATTCTTCCTGCTCGCTTTCGAACATAGCTCGTTTTATGACTTTTTTGTGGTACTGATTCCTCCCAAGACTTTTGACTTCTTGTTTTCTTTTTTTTAATCTGGATGTTTCTACTCTATTCTATGCTGGTCGTTTAATGATACATCTGAAGATTGGACGAATGATGCTGGTAAATGGGATCAGAAAGGGGGAGTGCTGTTTAGGAAAGATGCAGACGTACTACGCCTATCGACAAAGACCCAATCCGTATTCTCTCATCTGATCGTAAAGACGAATTTTTGGTTGATTGAAGGGGCCCCGAGGAGTCGGTTTCCATCGACGTGCAAGCTCATCTGTGTAGTTCTAGGACTTCTACAAAGCTGCGGCTTAGATGCTTGCTCATCTCTTACACTTTGAACATAGATGGACCTGCAGTTATATCCTCTCGAATCAAAGCTAGCTTGTCTTTTCCCCAACTGCAGTCCCAGCATCTTGATTAATGCACTTTTGGGAATCCTTGGGGTGGATTTCTGTCGATAGATAGCTTAGGGCTGGTGTGAGTAGTAACTAAGTGATCTCTCGTTTAGGGCTCTCCAGCGTCCTCCACACATGGAAATTCGAGGAAGACTTGGCCGATTGGACCAATGATCTTACCAATTGGCATCACAAGTGGCAGGTTGAGTGGCATCAACTCTGTCTTGCCGCTAAGCCAACCTCTGATGGAAAAAATCGGTCTCCTTGGTCTTTTTCTACCAGAAAAAATGTTAGTGATCCATCTGCCGGTGTTCAAGCTCGTCTTTGGAGCAGTCCTATTCCTTCCGAAGTCAGAATCGGTTGCCTCACTCTGTCCTTTCTCATCTCCGGGGTTGTCATGGGGAGATCGGTCGATACGACAAAATCAGTGCAACTGAGCCTTCTCCGGCATCATGACGAGTGAATATGCGGTTCTAGCGTTTAGTTTTCTCATCTACTTGTAATTCATTGAACTCTCTGTGTGATGCGAATCGAGTTTTTTAGGTTTTGCCGATTTCCACTTTTTCATCCTTCGGTTAGTCTAGCCGGCCTAAAATAATGCCGAAGTTCTTTGTGGTTAGCTGAGAATTTGGCGACGACATTTCGTTCGTTTGAGGACCCATTTGTTACCCAGATATCGTATGAAACTCCTGGGTATTACTGGATTTGTAATCAGCCACCTGCAACGCTCCCGAGTGTTTACCCGACTCTAAGATTTCAGCCGTCTCCCTAACCAATATCGTTTTGTCTTCGCATCTAGAACTACCAAAACCCCTGTTAACATGGACATTTTCCGAAGATCTGGAGGAGTGGACAAATGATGGGGACAATTGGTTGCAGAAATGGCGAGTCTCACAGATACGCAATCAGAAATTGCTGTGTCTTCACACAAAAACCTCTCAGCGAAGTCGGCAATCGATTCTGCTCTCTGAACAAGATCTCTCCCCTAATACTAGCATTCAAGCGCGTCTCTTGAGCCCCCTGATTCCTGCTCGTCTTGGTCTGCGCTGTCTGTTTATTACCTATTCGTTCGATTTTGGCACTGGGATGAAAGTGCCAAAATCTACGAGTCTGAATCTTTTGCAACGTCAGAAAGGGTGCCTATTTCATTCTGAATTTTCCGATTTTTGCATAATTTGTGCTTTGCGAATTTAAGCCGTCCAACTGAAAAGTTTATTGGTCGTATGTGTTATGTTTGCATCCGTCAACTTCATCATTTTCTTTATTGTTTTTCTCGTTGGTCTGAGGTAATTATGATGGAGTTTCAACTGGAATTTGGAGTGCTAAATCAATTCATTGCTCCAAACGTGGTCTCTTATCATCTATCCCAGCGTTTTCTCGAAATCACCTGTCCAAACACTGCCTGTAACCCATACGCGTTTTCTTTTTTCGAATTAGGGGTCTGTGGTAATACCGCCAACTGTTCCAAAGCGTTTAAAGTCGTCTTCCTAATCAAAACCATTTTATCTTTGCATCTAGAACTGCCAAAGCCTCTGCTAACATGGACATTTTCCGAAGATCTAGAAGAATGGGCAAATGATGGAGACAATTGGTTTCAAAAATGGAAGGTTTCGTCGATGCGCAACCAGACCTTGCTTTGTCTCCAAGCTAAACCATCCCAGCGAAGTCGACAGTCGATTTTACTCTCTCGTAAAGGCGATCCGATAAAACCTAACTTCAAAGCACGTCTTTTGAGTCCACCGATTCCCTCCGATCTGAGTCTACGTTGCCTTGCCATCGCCTATGCATTCGACTTAGGTCCTGGTCTTGAAACCCCAAAGGCAATGCGTTTGAGTCTCTTGCAGCGTCAGAAAGGGTGCTTATGCTTTCATTTCTCACGTCGTTCCCCTCCTCTTCCATAAGTTTATTTGTCCAGCCTCTGTCCACCCACAAATGTTTCGAATCTGGGGTAAGAGGTGGCTTAAAGGCATTGGTTTTCATCTACCCAATCGTAAAAGACGAAAGACCAATGCCAGTGGCATGCTGTTTCTCACGTGACAGTCATCTCTTACGCTGATTTGTCAATTATTGCGCCAATCATGGCGCGGTTTGGCAGGCCACGATTTCCAGTGTGGCGGGCGTGCGCTTTTGACGCATGCATTGCTTGGCTTATGCGTCATGCGTCCGAAGGGCGGTTGTCTGACAATGCGCACAGCCGTGTGAGAGCCCGGTGCCCCACTTTAGTAGAATACAGACATTACAATCGGTTTCTGTCTTTCCACCGTAGGTGCAACTTCGCTCACTTGTGGCTTTGAGAATGGCAGTTTGTGCGAGTGGGGAAACGATCTGAATAACTGGTTGGCTACTTGGAAGGTGGACAATTCGACCCTCTGCTTCAAACCTCTGCGACAGCATTCCAAGTCAAAGACGGAACTGTTTGCTCGACTCTACAGTCCTTTCCTGAGCGAGGAGGATGTGATTGGATGTGTGAAATTTAGCTACATTATTTCTATCACGAGCAGTCGTGGTGGTTCAGTTCAGCAGTCTGCGAGGTTGTCTTTAATGCAAAAACAAATGGGGTGAGGTCAGACTCTGTTGCTCCTCCAGATTGGATAAAGTGGTTCCCATTTGTTACAGTTCGGCTGAAATTCTTGTGAATCCTGGATGATTTTAGTTTTAGTTGAATTTTTTAGAGAAGCTGAATCCGTCTGGCCGTATTCTTTGTTGTTATTGATGTTCGTCTCCTGTGTTGGTCTGTTTGTCATCTCGACAGAATGGCAATATCTGTCTATTCCGTGCATAGACGGCTTCTTATTAGCTGCCTTGGGGACCCTCTTCCCGATCATTACGTAGTTCAGGTCACATTCGCTCCACTTTAGTCGTTCCTTCATTTATGGAGAAGTGGCATTCCCTCCCGGCTTTTCTGAAGTCAACTACTCATTCGATGCCTGTTCGTTGTGGCATTAGTAGGTGCTGGGTTCTTCAAACTTGTCGCCGATATTGAGCGTTTTCCGGGATTTTAACTCTCATGAATATATTTATCCGTTTCTTTTGGTTTGTGATGCTAGATTACAAAATACAGATACGTGGGAACGACAGATTGAGTATCCATATTGACGCCTACTGAGTTGAATACCGGTTTCTCTTTTCTTCCATCTATAGATGGGCGAACGAATTCATTTTCCTGTGACTTCGAATCCCCCGGAATGCAATCTTTTTGCCATTGGAATATCGATCCCAGAGACAGTGGTGCTATGTGGGGTATCATCTGGAGCCCAAACTTGCACACCAACATGCTCTGCCTGACCCCTGCGGCAGGCGTATATACCGACGGTGACGATGACGCTTTTGATTTGGGCGAAATTAATGCGATTGCAATGCGAGCGAGATTCTGGAGTCCGAAGTTTCGCGTAGCAAAGGCCGACGTAGTACCACGATGTATCAAGTTCTTGTTCAAGTTCGATCAACCAGTCAAAGACTCGCCCCTTTCCTTGAGCTTAATGTTTCACTCTTCAAGGTAAAAGATGGATCCATTAGCAATAATAGGGTGCAAAATGTTGAGTGAATCGTACTTTATCCAACGATCTAGGTGAACTGGAGGGAATATGAATGTTGATTTGATACACCACTGGCTAATTATTTCGAGTTTCGGTAGATGGATCGAGGTACCAAAGGCGTCATCCTTATCAGTTTACTTATTTAATCTGCCATTAGCTACCGTTTGCTATCTTGTGAAGCTATTTTTATGGAGTTGACATTTTGGCTCGCCGATACGTCGGTCGTTTGTTTTCTCTGTTCAGGATTAATCTTGGCTAAGCTGTGGTCCATCGTCTCCATATGAATCGATTTTTATCCGATCCTCTTTTTTTGGTGGAGACATTTGATCTCTTTCAACTGAAATTTTGTTCTTTCCTAATGAAATTCTTAGATTTCGGTCGACATTTTATTTTGTATGTACTTCTTGTCTTGTCTGTTTGGATTTTAATTTTGTCTGTACGATATCCATTTATCATTTCTCGATTTCTTTTTTTTTGCAATCAGCTGTATCCATTGCTGCGCTTACACTATCCGTTTATCCTTATCAGGAACTAAGCTTGGTTATTGACGTTGTTTTGTCATACACAGAGTGCGTAAATAACTACTGACGTTGAGCCTCTCTCTTCTACTAGATCGGACGTCTCTCGATTGTGCCTTTGAAAATGGGTCAATCTGTGAGTGGACCAATGATCCCAACAACTGGTTCGCCACTTGGGGAGTGTTAGATTCGCTTCTTTGTTTCAGACAGCATCGTTCTGCCTCGGGAAAACAGACCGAACTGTCTGCTCGTCTCTATAGTCCCCTCTTGAGTGGACACTACAGGATTGGTTGCGTGAAATTGAACTTTACGATTTTTAGTAGTCGTCATCAGCATCATTCGGCTAGGCTTTCACTTTTGCAAAAGCAAATGGGGTGAGATTATTCGATCACATCTTTCGGCTGCCTTGTCATCCCTACTCAATACCTTGACGTTTGATATCACGAGAATAGTTAAAGTGATGCCTTTACAGTCGGGTTGATAGCTTTGCGATCGCATCTAGTCGTGAGATCTGTACTTGATAGCGCAATTCTTGTGCTAAAGGTGAATTATAAATCGAATTGGAAACGTTAAAACCCATTGAGGTTCTTATTCTGTGTATGTAATGCTTGACATTCTCGTTGATTTTATTTGCGTCACCCGTGATTTCCATTTGCTTTTCGATGTTTTCACTCCAAAATTTCGTTACTTCCATGGCGCTCTCCGCCATCGTCAGTGTTCAGCAAGAGCGGACATTTCTTTCACGTGCCATTTGTTCACTGACCTGGCACAGTTTCTGGAAGTCACTTGCTAACACTCGGTTTCTGTGTTTCCATCGTAGGTGGGGCGTCGCTCAATTGCACATTCGAGAGTGGGAGTCTGTGTACCTGGTCAAATGATCAAAACAATTGGCTCGCAACATGGGAAATTGTGCAAAGAAAGAACACAATTCTCTGTCTGAAACCTCTCCGTATTCCATCTGATGCAAATGCGGAGATGTCTGCCCGTCTCTACAGTCGTTTCTTGAGTGTACAGGATGGAATTGGATGTTTTAAGTTCAGCTACATTATCTCTCCAACTGAAGTTCGTAGTAGCGCTCATCTTGAACAGTCTGCAAAACTGTCCCTCATGCAAAGGCAAATGGGGTGAGGAGGGAATGGTCCAACATCTCACCAATATGGTTTTTCAGTCGTTCTTCATTAACTTCTTCGAGTTGGTTTTGTTTATAAATGGGCTTGGTTCCAGTGAATACATCTATTCACGTCAATATTTCTTGATGTCGTTTTTTTTGTCTTCCACTGAGTGGTCCATTATCTCAGTAGAATAATTTCGCTCTAGCTTTCCTTGATGACTTCTCATTCGTTCATTTGACTGTTAATCCCATTTTTCATGGTATGGGACCGTTTTCAGGCTACTCGCAATGCTAATGAGCCACAGTTCCTTAGTTTTTCGATTTCCCTCTACTTTTATCAATCTCGGCACTTCAGCATCCGATGTTAGTTGATTAGGTTCCCATTTATCTGAAAGACTCAGATAATTGAATACTAAGCCCTCCTCTGATGTCTCATTTGTAGGACATACAGCACATATTGTAACCAACTGATGTGTTCTTCCTCGTCCTCAGACCACATTTCTTTGCTTCCTTTCAGAGGTGTCCGCCTCTTTATTCGCTTGTGATTTCGAGGTGCAGGGACTAAAATCCCTCTGCGGATGGAAGGACGATCCCAGGGACAATGGTGTTGCCTGGATCATTGTCTGGAATTCCGATCTTCACACCAACAGCCTTTGTATGACGCTTGCCACATCGAGTCGCTACGTGGCAGATGATGATGGCAATTTTGGTTTTGGCGGTATTAATGAACCTGTGATGCGAGCTAGGTTATGGAGTCCAAAATTCCATGCTGCAAAGACCTATGAGGCACCGCAGTGTGTCAAGTTCTCGTTCAAGTTTGATCAACTAGACGCCGAGTCATCTTCTTCCTTGAGTGTGATGCGTCATTCTGTGAGGTAATCCGTGGATTCACTGCATGCCGATAGGGAGAATTATGATTGGGTTGCAATCTGCCAATCTGAGGGAGAAATAGAAAGGTAGTGTGAAACTGCTGTGGCTGTTGACATACAGCTGCGGGAAGGAAGTCTTCCACATCCGTTAGCATTAGTGTCTTTTGATCACGACTTCGGAGATTGGTGTATTTATTGAATTTTACTGTATTTTTACATGACAGGGACATTTACTATGGTTCATTGTTATTTTGGAATTCTTGACCCAAAATCGGAACGAAATGACCAAAGAAGAGGAGATAATGAAGGATTGATTCTCACTACTTCTTGTTGCTTCAGTGATCTAGTGAGCTTGTCGATCACTTTCTATTGCACTTCAAGATCGGCGGTCTCCGGATTCCACGCTTCTTTTCTGACTTTTTCAATGACGTATAAAGGAGTTTCCTTTATACTGGCTCTGAATTCACTGTTTGAAGGTGATATTGATTGTTGTAGAAACAATGAGCGGAGGGCGTTTCGAAAGAGTTCGAGTATTCCGTTGACTCGGATACTGAATCCAGGAACGCGACGTTGCAAAAGGACAAGGGTTTAATTCGTCTCCTTCTTGATGCTTAATCAGCCTGGCGAATTCGGCTGTGATTGATCCTCATTCTAGTTCCAAGGTCGACGAATTTCGTTTATGGTTATCCATGCAGGGAGGCGTTTCCTTCCACATTGGTTCTGATTCTGTGTTGATACACCTTAAATCCTCATTTCAGGTTTGATTTCTGCTGTCTTCCCGTCAGAATCTTTCGTCAGTAGTACTTTTAACTATTCATTAGATCCACAAAACTTGTGATGAACATGTTAGTGGCGGCTAAATTGTTCTCTCGTTTCTGGAAATTCTTCCGGCTCTAAGTAGACCCCACTGTTTCCCCTTTTCAGCAGTTTCAACAGCTGGAAAGTCACCGTTGGACTGCCATTTCGATAATGCCTGCAGCTGGATGCCAGACCCTCGTGATAGCACAGCAAAGTGGCAAATTGAGAATGGCACCATGTGTCTGCGTCCTGTTAGCCTTCCACAGCATTTCGAATCCTTTTCCGATCTTGAATCTAGTCATAGTGATCGGCGTGCACGGCTATGGAGTACTGATATTCGTTTCCATCACAATGTTCAGTGTCTCTGTTTCATCTATTCTCTCAGCTCCACACCGGTGGATAAGTTCTCACTTTCCGTTCTGCTTCACTCGTCGGGGTATGATGGAGGCCCTAAATAGTAGCCTAGGAATATACCTCTGCCCATGGCAGTTAGGATAGGCTACTCTTAGATTTGCTTTTTTATTTTTGTCATTTTAAAGTAATCCATGCCTTTTATGCGTCATATTTATATTTTTTTATATATGGTTATTCTTCTTTCATTTCCACTTCGTCCTTCCATCTTGGTGTGCATGCTCCCAGATTTGAATGCTTGTCGTTTCGCTTTCACTTTGGGATGTCTGTCGTGACTGATGCTCTCTTATGACCCTTTGCTCCCTTTTTAGTCTAGCTGCTTATCTTGTAGGGAGTAATAAGGCATATAGGCTTCTACCCCCTCTTATCTTTCTTGTTTGACTGATGATTGGCTGCTACCTTCGTTCGTTTGAAACAGGGGCTTGGGCTTAGGCTGTAGCACTGAGTAAGATTAAGGTCTAGTCGTCCTGACTGTTGATCTCCAGGTTAGTGTCTACCCCTTTAAAAGCATGCTTGTTAAATTATGGTTTTTAGCTTTCTTAGGCGGGTTTATTTCCGGCTTTTGAAGCATAGTACCACTGCAAGTATGGGTCACACTCACATCTAAGGTCAAGCAACCAGTTGCTAAAATTTGCCTTCCTTCCAACTGTGCCCACACGTGTACCGCATCCTTCACAGTGCAAAGTCTGCTACTACGCCAGTTTTTTGTGTAGTTCTATATGTTGGCACACGCAAAATCATTATTTGCAGCGATTTTTTCCTCTTATTATTTCTTCACCTTGAAGTGCCTGCCAGCTAATTAAGGGCGAACATTTCGGTAGGCCTGCTCACACAGAGAGTAGCTAAATTTACTTCTTCCTAACGCCAATAGGGTCTTGTGGAATACAGTAGGTTCTCATTCCGTGTAGAGCGTGGCTGGTGTCACCTCCATTCCAGCATTTTTGCTTTGAAGGATTTCAGGGAACGTGAATCATGATGCGTTGGACAAAGTAGATACCTCCTCAGATGTCTTTCTTTTCATTATATAGTCTAACTCTTCCCTTTTTTTCTTCCTCTTTTAACCATCGTTCTATTTTTTCTTTCCTCTTTCAAACCGGCATTTCGCTCTCATTCTTGCAGAAACTGTCAGAAAATCCTAGACGCCATAACCGGTCAGGAATTTGAGGTTTGGTAAGGCGAGGCTTCTCCGTTATAATTCATTCCACCCTTATATAGTCGGCCCGTTCTATTGTGGAATTCCTCCGTGTCACGTGCTCCCTCCTCTTCTTCCTGGAATACCGCTCTCATAGACCTTGGAACTGATTCTTCGACTGATTTCAAGGTATTCCTTGCCCCTCGCTCCCCGTTTTTCCCCAAATTAGGGGTCCTAGTGTAGCTGGAAAGATTGTTGACTTCCCTTTTTTCAGTTCAATCTTGCTACTACTTTAGCCTTCTCCATTTTCCTCCTTTTGTTTTTCATCAATTCTCTCATTGTTATACAGAAATTTGCGAGAAGTATTGGATCTGGCTACAGGGAAGACGCTTCAGATTAGGTAAATAAGACATTCGTGTTGTTCTAAATGACCCTAATATAGTCAACCTGAAGTTATTTGGTCGTCCAAAGCGCTCTCGCAATCTCTTGCATGGCAGACTGCCCACGTATCATTAAACTCCAGCAGTAAGGCTGGGGATTTCAAGGTGAGACTGTTTGGTGTCTCCTTCCCTCTTCCCCTCCTCCATTCTGCCTTCCTTTTCTTCCACGATCTTTTTCTCTTTCTCACACCGTATTCCTTCTCTCTGCTCCTCCAGTAGCTGTAAAGATATTCGTGATCCAGCGACCGGAGATATTCATCATGTCTGGTAATTTCTCGTCCCCGTGTATTTGCGAAAATCTGTAGTAAATCCCATCACTTATGGTCTTCAAATAACACCATGGGTACGAAGTCCGTTTGGACACGAAATTCTGTCGATCTAGACAGTAATACGACCTCCGATTTTCAGGTGAGGAACTATTTAATTCGATCGTCATTTCATTAGCTGTCAATTGTTTAGATCTATGATATTGCTCTGTTTTTCACTCATTGTTAATTACTCATTATTCATAATTAGTTTCGGCACTTACTACAACGCTTCTGTGATTCCCAAAACATTGGCAGGGGGAGGATTTCAACTAACAATTAGGTTTACTTTTAAGGAAGTGCGCAGACATTGCAATTTTAAATTCGTGATAAAGGGCATACCATTTCTACCAATTATTCCTCATTTTATCATTCTCCTGCGTTTGTTTGATGTGAACTCACATTCCATCTGGAGGGCCTTCAATTCCATGGTTCCGTTGAGCCCAATGACCCAGATTAGATTTTGAGGTCTATAGTGTTCCTATGGCTACTCTTCAATCCTTCCAATTCCTCCTTTCCAATCCTGTTTAATTATTTGTCTGGGAAAACCGCCTTTGACTGTAATTTTTCATTGTCCTTCTAGTAACTGCCACTCAATCCTTGATCCTGTAAGTGGTGATGTGATCGAGTATTGGTAAAATCGTCTCCATTGCACATCAACAACCTCTTTCTAGTAAACCTCATCTCTTGTGGAAAAGCGAATCAAGCTCTGGGTGGCAAAAGACCTCATTGGATCTCATCTCTAATTCCTCTACTGATTTTCAGGTGAGAGGGGTATTTTAGTTAATGCTCGGCGTCTCTGTCTCTCCTCTATTTACCCACCTTATCTTCCCACTTCTCTCCTTTCTCTTCATCTGTTTTAGTAGTTAAAAGGAATGTACGCCTCCCCATCTTTCTCATAATAACCCTTATCAGATATCACATCAAACTGAAGGACAAATAAAATACTGGTAACTTGCGTCCCTATTTCACTATGACTACCTTATAGCAACCCAAAACATCGGAGCTGCGAGTTGGTGTAAAAGTGCCGTAGGTCCGACTTCGAGGTGATTGGCCTTGCAAACGGTTCCTATATCGTTAGCTCAGTGGGATTTTGTGTAAATTCGGCTTGTTTGAATCACCTGCACTCATCTCTTAATCTTACTCCCTCCTTCGTTTGCCGCATTATCTATTCTTGTCCTCGTCGTTCTCATTTAGCCTTTACCCATCCTAGATTTTGTCGTGATATTCCGGATCCTCTAACTGGCAAGATGATTCGATATTGGTAACCAATTTTCAATGGATATCCAGTAATTCCTCCTTGTTTAGTGAACCAAAAGCCCTGTGGTCAACAAATACTACAAGTGGTGCTTCTACTTGGTCCAAGGCCGTAGTTAGTTTGAACTCCGGCGAAGCTGTCCTGAATGGTGATTTTCAGGTATCAGTTGTAACACGTCTCCTGTCATCGATGCATGCAAAATAAGTAACTTATTCAGCTCCCATTTACCTCTTTTGATCTCCCCCTTCTTTTCCCTCTGCTACCTACCTAATCTTATCCTCTGAGTCCTTGTTTCCTCTACCTATTTACTATTTACAAGTTGTTAATTCTTTAATCAAAAAGTCAAAAGTCCCTCGTTATTTTCATGGTTTTTTTTGTTAGCACTTTCAATTTCATGTCATTTGTAACGGAGGCCTTTGACACACTACAGGTTCGACGTCCAGTTAGCATAGTGTCATTGTTGATCTGTCTTCTGTGACGAAGAACCATTTCCGGGCATTTAGTGTAGCCCTACCAGGTGGTGGATGTTCATGAAACTCGATAGTGAAATCGGTCGACTTAGAACTCTAATTCTGCACCGAACTTTCAGGGTTTGAGACTTTATTATGCTCCTTTTAGCCTTATATCACGATTGAGTTGCTCTGTGCCCTTTTCTTGTGCCTCTTCATCTCTTCACTGTCATTCCCTCATCTTGTGGCAATATCACTGTGGCTGTTAAAGATGCACGATATTGGTTTACTATGAACAGGTCGTTTACCAAGACAGTAATTGACCGATTGAGTTTAATTTAAAATCCTGCAACTTATTCCTTACTTCCTCGCTTTCCCTTGCTTTTTCCATTTTTTCTTCTAATGCTTTTTTTCTCTTTCGTCTCAACTCAGTCGTTGCGTTCAAGTTATTCATCCGCTAACTGGGAAGCCGTCAAGTTTTTGGTGGGTTGTTCAGCCGTCTTTTGGTAACACGCTCCATTCTCTGATAGCTCCAATGATGATCTCTGGAATACTACAGGTTCAACGTCAGATTGGCAAACTGTCAAAGCCGACTTGGCTTCTGCGGCTAAGAGTGATTTTCAGGTATTTGTCGTGACCTTAGTTCAAATGCAATTGATTGGCTAATCTAAGAGCGCATCTTAATTTAGCTTTCAAAATTTTACCTGGTTATTCTTCTCATTCTCAGTTAGATTTCTCTCATCTCGAAATCCTGTTCTACTTATTCACTGTGGGCGGCTTTTCTTTCGTAATAGGCTTTGGACTGCTTTAGTACGCTTCATCGCAATGTAAAATCCAACATTAAGTAGAGAAGAGTTGTAGATGCTCCCCTAGCGGTCTGTTTGGTGTGCTTCTCCTTCAATCCTGGCTTTGCTCTTTTTCGTCCGTTTTCCTTCTCCCCCTTCTCATGTTAATTCCACTTTGCTCCCACAGATCCTGCCATGAATTTGTGGTCCCTGAAACTGGTAAAAAGATCCAATATTGGTAACCATTTTTTAAGATTCCATTAACACAATTCTGTGCGTTTAGTGAACCAGAAACTTTGTGGTCGGAAAATGCCACAAGCGGTGCATCCACTTGGTCAAAGGCCGTAGTTAGCTTGGATTCTGGCGAGGGTTCAGTGAAGACCGATTTTCAGGTACTAGCTGCTACTCTTCCGAACAAACGTTTTGCAAAAGTAATGAAATTCGCCAAGTCCATTTCAAATAAGGTTATGAATGTTGAATCACCGCTTTTGATCTATTCCTTCCTCTTTTCCCTTTCTTCTCTTTACCTGATATTTCATCGTCTTCCTAACGCCTTGTTTCTCTTATCAATCCAGTGACTGCGTTCAAGTAGTCCATCCTGTGACTGGACAAACTTCAAGTCATTGGTGGGTTGTTTTGTAGTCATTGGGTAACACGCTCGGTGTCTTGCTAGCTTCAACCAATATCTCTGGAACACCACAGGTTCGACGTCAGGTTGGCAGATGGCCAAAATTGATTTGACTTCTCTAGCGAAGAGCGACTTTCAGGTATTCTTCGTGATGTTGCTGTCCTATTTTGTCTAAAGACATCACGTTGATTTGTCTACCAATCTCCCTTACTTATCTGGGCACTTTTTACATCCATGGCTTTTTGCGTTCAGTATGCAGACTTCTTTTCCTAATCATTTTAGTGCAGGCTTCCGTTTTTCGACTTCTCTTCGTAGCATTCCCATCACAGTTACGATCTATCTTGGAGCTCGCTCAATATCATTTTGCTTCTCATATTTCCACGTAACATTAGTTTGTCTTCCCCGTATTTCAGTTGCTATTTTGCCTCTGGATCGCGCAAAATTCTACCAATTAATGTCGGTGTTCACTTTTTATATCTTAATTTTGTCTGTTAATTATCTTTTGACAAGATCTAATTGCAAAACGTGGGGAGCAAGCTGTCTCGGAGTGGATGCTTGTATAACATCATCATCTTTGGCTTCTTACTTATCTGTTTCTTTACTTTTAAATATTCTTCCCTAATGCTCTATTTCTTCGGTTAACTCAGTCGCTGCGTTCAAGTTCCCGATCCGAAAACTAGGAAACCGGCAAGCCTTTGGTGGGTCGTGTGACCTTTAGATAACACTCAACTCCTTGCTAGCTTCAATGATGATCTCTGGAACATAACTGGCTCTACGTCAGGTTGGCAGACTGTCAGAGTCGATCTTACTTCTGTAGCAAAGAGTGATTTTCAGGTATTTGTCACGAGCTTGGTCCCCTCATAACAGACAGATATTACTAACTTCCTGCATTTTAAGGTCCTCTACTCATTACACTTATCTTTTATAACTTTTGACGATGTCATTCACCCACATTCGTGACAATCTTAAATGCTTCTCCTGGTTACTGTCGGTTCGTTTTGCTTCTGTTTTGATTTACCTTCATTCTCTTCAGTTGTAGTATCTCTTTACTTCTATCTCATTGTAATGCTTTATCCTTTCATGCATCGTATCTTCACTGTTCGAAAGTTCTTTAGAATCAATGTGCAGGTTTTTTTTTGGAATTTTACTAACTTCAGTGAGACAAGAGGAAATGGTTATTTGAGTGTCTGGTTTGATCCATCAAACTGAAGTCCTCACTTCTTACCTGTTTTCTGTCCTTTTTTCGTGCCTTTCCTATCTTTCCTAATCCACTGCCTCCCATCGATTTAGCGACTGCGTCCAGGTTGCCAACCCGAAAGGTGGCAAGGCCACAAGTGTTTGGTGGGTCATTCTGTGGTCGTTAGATAACGCGCCTAACTCCTAATAGCTTCAGTGAGGACATTTGGAATACAACTGGCCCAACATCAGGTTGGAAAACCGCTAGGGTGGACTTGACTTCTGTGACAAAGAACGATTTTCAGGTATTTGTGGTGGCTTTGGACTCCCTAACTACTGGAAAGTATGCGTCACTAAAATTTTTTGGGAATTTTAATGCGTCTTGAACAAGGTGCTAGCTATAGTTACGCCTTTTCAACATCTTACTTAAAAACCCTTCTGTTGAGCTGCTTAGCGCTCATGTATCATGATCGCCTTTGGTTGAGTAATCGTGCAAGGCCGCAATTCCCACGAAAATTAATTTGACCCCTGCCTGAGTGTGCCAGTTTGGAGAAGTGTGCTTCTGCCAAATCTCCTACTCCCTTACTGTCTTCTTTTGCCTTTCATTTCCTGCCCTTGAATCCTTCTTAACACTTCATCTCTTCTGCCACCTCAGTGACTGTGTTCAAGTTGCTAATCCGAAAACGGGAAAACCAACAAATTTCTGGTGGGTAACTTGAGGCGCTTTGGATAACACACTTGATTTCGCATTAGCTTTAATGATGACCTCTGGAACACAACAGATTTATCACCGGGTTGGCAAACCACTAAGGTGGATTTGACGTCTGTGGCCAAGAGCGATTTCCAGGTACTATTCGAGACTTCACCGTCTCACCTTAGTTTACGTGTTTATTTGACTAATCAAAGGATACTTTTTATTCCATTGTACCACTTTTCAAGCACCCTCATGCGCATCTTTTAAACATATTCCTTTAATTTATCTAACCTTCAGTTCCGTCTCGTGTTTTCCCACTGAACCCACATCAGTCCTTTTTAATCATGTGCTCATACGGTTTCGTGGCAGAATCATTTTAGTTCTCAATCCATGCAGTGTTCTTAAGGACCTTCACTCTGTTCTTGCATTCCAGCATATTTGACTTGCACTACTTTGTTTTGCGAAGGTAGTTTTCTATCTATTGTAATCGCCTTGGTTTCTTCAATATTATTTATTGCCACACCTGTTTCAGAGACTTTGTCGGGAAATCTATAATCCTCTAGTCATCAGAGTGATTCTACATTTATTTCTGATTCCGTGATGAATGCTAATCGTTGAACCAGAAATTTACCATCCTTCGTGGTTTTAAAGTCGCAAAGATTTCTTAGCGTAAAGCATCGTCATTCTCGTGCTATTAGTCCTTGGATTGGTAGTTGAGAAGGTAGTGCGGGTAATGGTGTGTCGGTGTTTAACCATCTGCTTTTCTATCTTCTACTTCTCTATCTTCTCTCCTTTTTTCCCAATAATATTCTGTCCCTTTTGTTAATTTAGTCGCTGCGTTCAAGTTCCCGACCCGATGGGTGGAAAAACTACAAGGGTTTGGTGGGTTTTTGACGAGTTTAGGATAACACGCTCAATTCCCTGTTAGCTTCAATGACGATCTCTGGAATGCCTCTGGTCCTGCGTCGGATTGGCAGAATGCTAAAGTCGATTTGACTTCTGCAGCAAAGACCGATTTTCAGGTATTTAGCGTTGTTTCACCTTAGATGGCGTCAGTCAAGCCAATAAACGAAGCAAATACATTTTTCAGGCAGCATTTATAGTGTAATTACATTTCGTTAATAAGTTTACGTCGTGTCGTAAAATCGTACTAAATTGTCCCTTCTTTCCGGCTTGTTTGGGCTCCTTCTCCTTTGACTCTGCCCTCTTTTTACTTCATTCTCTTTCCTTTCTTTGCCGCATTTCTGCTATGCTTCGCTCTCCACAGGTCCTGCAGTGAATTTGTGAACCCTACGACAGGTAAAAGGATTCAACACTGGTAACTAGTTTCCTTGGATTTCATTTAATCGCTCTCATCTGTTTAGTGAACCAGAAACTCTGTGGTCGGCGAATTCAACTAGTGTTTTTTCGACTTGGTCCAAGGCTGTAGTTAGTCTGGATTCTGGTGAATCCGTCGCAAAGAGTGATTTTCAGGTACCCGTCAAAATTTTGCTATCATCTTCGATGGGCTAGTAGAGGCAGTTAAGTAGAACCGCTAAAAAACTATTTCGGTGACATTTGTGTTTTTTGTTATGCTTTGTCACCTTGCCATTCTAGTGGCATTCCTTCTGTTCTGTTTCTTGTCTATTTTTGTCGTTTATAGAGATATGTTTCGGTACTTCATTATGCTAAAATGTCATGCTCAAACTATTCTTTGACAGTCGTGCCTCATCAGTAGTTTCGACTCGTGAAAAATTGTCACTTTTTCCCTAAATCATGCCTTTCCTGAATTTCTGAATCCATTTTCAATTGGTTAAACGGAAGATTTGGCTTCCTCTGAAGCCATAAAGCGACTTACAATATAATCTAAAAACATCCCTGTTTGTAAAATAGCAGCTCTAATCATGAAGCTTGTATGCTGATTTGGATGGATTAGATGTTCATGCCGCTAAATAGCTCTATTACTGTTAAGTAGTATTGAAGATTAAAACGTGGGATTGCTTGATGCTGTCTTCCTCAAACCTCCTTCCTCCTGCTCTTCTTTGATCTTTTGACTTTTTTTTCCACCCCAACTTTAATCCCATTGAGTTCTTCCGTCTGCTCTTTTAGTAACTGTAAAAATGTTCGTGATGCCGACACCGGTGAAATTCACATCATTTGGTAATTTTCCGCCTTCATTTAAACTGGCAAATTTGCAGTAAACCCAACCAATTGTGGTCTTCAGTCGACACCGAGGGTGCGCATTCAGTATGGACACGGGCTTCTGTTGACTTAGGCAGTAATACGACCTCAGATTTTCAGGTGAGAATAAGGATCTCAAGCTCATTATTAGATGGAATAAACAAATTATTGGAGAGGGTGAAGTAGCCAACATGCTGATTGATTGTTCATTTCCCACCTCTTTCTTTTCTCGCTTCTGTTCTTGTCTTTCCTTAACTTACATCCCCCTCATTAATGCCTACTTTTCTCATTAATACAGTAACTGTGTTCAAGTTATCCATCCAAAAACAGGAAAACCTTCAAGTTTTTGGTGGGTTTTGACCATCCTTAGATAGCTTATTGGATAACCCATTAGCTCCAACGATGAGCTTTGGAATATTACTGGCCCTACGTCAGGTTGGCAAAGTGTCAAAATCGATCTAACGTCTCTGACAACGGGAGATTTCCAGGTATTCTGCACGATTTTTGCTGGCTTTCTATTAGTTGTGTGTCCTCAGGAGGTTAACCGAGAGGCCGTGCCTAGTTATCACTTCCAGATTTTGAAAATTCTTTCGTCATTGCTTCTGATTATAGGTAAACTTCCTGGCCCTGATTAGTTTTCCTTTGTAGAGCCGTAGTAACTGCTGAATTATACGGAAAACTGGGCTTTTCTTTAAGCTTCATTCTCTTTTGATTTTAATTTTAATCTAGTTCGCTTCGGTAAAAATATGTATGATTTGACCGGGGTGAATTTTTTTCACATATAATGATTCCCAATGTTCCTTTTCATACTCATGCTCATCGCAACCTTACAGAAAATGGTGAAATATTGATATAGATACTTGGTTTGGATAGATTGGTGTTCCCAAAATTACGTGACCGTCTTAATCGAGGGTGACTGGAAACCTTGAAATGTGGTCGCTTGATGTTTTCTTTCTCCTGCTTTCTTTTTGACTCTTTTGATACTCCTTACTTTCCCTCCTTACTCTCCTGTTTGCTCTTTCAGTAACTGTAAAAAGCTTTTTGATCCCGAAACTGGTGAACTCCATACCATATGGTAATTTTATCGCTTTCATTCCAACCACGAGCTTTGCAGTAAACCCCTTCGATTGTGGTCTTCAACTGACATCATAGCTGGGAATCCCGTTTGGACACGAACTTCTGTCAGTCTAAGCAATACTTCGGCCTCAGATTTTCAGATGAGAGTTGACGGCCCTAGTTCACTGTTTTCGGCCAAACAAACGAGCTAAGATTGATCATTTCAGCGAAGTTACTTCGTCAAGGGTATCTCAACTGGCAAACTTGAGTCTGTGTTGAATCAACTCTTTCAATCCCTTCTCCCCTACAAACCCTTTCCTTCTATCTTTGTTCATTTTTTCTCTTACCTATTTCTTCCATGAATTTAGTCGCTGTATTGAGGTTGCCGATCCGAAAACTGGAAAATCGTCAAGGCATTGGTGGGTTGTTATATGGTCTTTAGGATGACAGGTTCAACTCTCTATTAGCTTCAATGATGATCTCTGGAGTACCAATGGCTCAACTTCGGGTTGGCAAGGCGTCAAAGTCGATCTGACTTCCGTAGTGAAGAGCGACTTTCAGGTATTAGTCGCAGCTCTGCTGTCTTGCCCTGGTTCATTGTATTTGGATGGGGTTGTTACTCGACAGGTCTTTTGGTGTCAGTGTTCGTCAAATTACATCACTTTGTTCAACCTCCCCTATGACTCTGTTTTTCATTTTTCCAGTTCTTTTTTCTATTTATTCCACTTACTTTAGATTTCTTTCTTTGTGTTCGTTCTTTCCTTCAGCCTACTTGGTTTCACTATTCTTCCATTATTCCTTTTACTGTTATTGTTAGGTTCACTTTCTGCTTCCTATTAATCTTGTCCTGACATTTCGATCACTGTAATCAGTAAATTAGTCGAATCAAACATCCCAGTTTTTATTTGATCCCATTTAACTTATCATTTGGAGTGCTTCGATAAAGCTGTTACTGACTTGGTTCATGACGTTGTCTCTCTGCACTCCGAGTCTATTGTCCTCATATTCAATAAGGAAGCACTGTTTATTCGGTAATAAGTTACTTTGGCGTGGACAGTCGCGTGTTTGTGTTGATTTATCTCGCTCAATCTCTCCTTTACTATCTTTCCTTGCCTTTTCCACCTTGCTCTCTTTCCTGACATCCCTACTCTTCTTTCAATCCAGTGGCTGCGTTCAAGTCCCCCATCCGATAACCGGAAAGCTGTCAAGTGTATGGTGGGTCTTTTGACAACAGAAATTCTCATTATTAATAGTTCCAATGATGATCTGTGGAATGCCAGTGGTCCCACTTCGGGTTGGCAGAAGGCCAAAGTTGATTTAACTTCTGCGGTGAAAAGCGATTTTCAGGTATTTTATCCAACTTTACTGTGATCCATGTAGCTAGTCAAAATAGAACTCTAAGTTCTGTCATTAATTTCGTATACCAGTGTTAGAAAGTTATTTAGGCCTCTGGTTAGTCATTTGGTGCACACTTGCTCAGATCATTTAAGCCTCATCATTCCGACTTTTTTATCACCTCAACTACCCTTGTTTTCCCGATGTTTCTATCCTGACTGCTTTTCAATGAAGCTGCGCGAAGTCTGAACGAAGTTTCCATAAGATGCAGGAGGGCTACTTAAGTTTATGGTTATATGCTCCATTTTGCTTGTGTGGATTTTCCCCTTTCTCTCTTCTACTTCCGCTTATCATTTCTCGCTTTCCTGTCTTCATCACTAATAGTGTGTTTCTTCTGTCACTCCAGCGACTGCATTCAAGTTATCCATCCAAAAACCGGGAAGCCTACAAGTGTTTGGTGGGTTTATTAGTGGTCTCTAGTTCTCATTCATTAGCTCTAATGAGGACATCTGGAAAACCACTGGGTCCACGTTGGGCTGGCAGAATGCCAAGATCGATTTGACCTCTGCCGCGAAGAGCGATTTCCAGGTAGTCAGATACCCTAACCGACAGACTAAAGTAACCACTCATCTGCGCTTCTTCTAACCAACTGGTATCTTTCTCCCCTCTTTAATCTCTGGCCTTGCTTTACTAACTCATCTTCTCTTTCACCCATTCCCGTCTTAGTATTTGATGTGTTTCCGTAATATTCTGCTCGTTTTAAGGACTAAGGCAGCTTCAATGGATATCCTAGAAAAACGCATAAACTACTAGCTAATTATTTACTTCTCTTTTTGCATTCGCTTTATAACTACACTCCCTTTCGTATATCTTCTTTCCTTCTATGTTATTTTTAGACTAAATCCCATATCATGTCGCCTTGTGGGAGTAAGACTTTCATTTTTGGTAACTAATTGTGAGCCTGTACAATATAGTGTAGCCTAGTGAATGAGCTGGACCATTTCTTTAGCGGTTGCTGCATCACACACCCATTCACGCACCCGCAAGCAGCCTGTAGACCAGTTTGGGTGACTCAGCGCAGCCCTCTTTGCTTACGGCTTAACTACCACTGTTGTTAGCGTAACTGTAGCTCTAGGAGTAATTACATCCACATTGTCTACAGGTTGTCATTACGTCCTTTCTATAACATCCAGCAACGCAGCTATAGCATCAGGTCTTGACGTTTAATTCCCTTTTTCTTTCTTTAGATTATTCTAGAGGGAGTTATTCCTGCTGGCTATCCAGATGCAAGAATCTGTGTGGACAATATCACCAGCTATACGGTGCCCTGCAGCGGTGCGTTGCTCTTAATTTACTTTGACTTGGATTTTCTACAAACTGTAACTCATAAGGCACTGGAGTCGCGGAGGGGCTAAGCGAGCAGTGGCATAGGTCGTGGAGGCTGATTCGCTCAAACAGATATATCATGTTATTGCAAAGCTGCCCACCCTTTTACACACTTCTAAGTGGCTGTATCTGATGGTTTGTTTCACATTGATTTGTTTGCGAGTGTCGGTCGAATCCATGATGTGCATGCTGCGTGTGCCACTCAGTTCTGTCGTACGGGTTTGACCTGGTCTGTTTGGACGATACTTTAAGCGTAATTTACACTACTTTTTTGATTGGAAAAACAGCGCAATTTTTATACATTGTTTTGAAATATTCGTCCATTTTATGGGTGCATTAACTCTTGCGTAAAAGTCGGTCATATTTTCTGGACGATCAAATATAATTGGGTATTTTTTAGCCTCCTGCACCTTATTTCCAGTAATTGATTTTCCAAACTTTTATTTGATGTCTTTTTGGGAGAAATTTTAGAAGAAAGCGTGTGATGTTATTTCAAATAGTATTCATTGAGGCAATTATTAATCGGTTGAATCACTAGACCGATTTAGCCGTCTGGAATGCGAGGATTTCAGTTGACCGGAGCTCTCGAGTGTGACGCGTTTAATTGGCACGCGTCAAAGTGGGCATCAAAGGATGATTTGCGTATTTTTTTAGGCGACGTTAAGGCACTTCTGGTAAACAACATCGTGGATATGTCTACCCAAATAATTTATTCGTTTATTGAATGTCCGTAGTCGCCCAGATAAAGTCCGTAAATAGCGATCAAAACATTAACTTACGCGCACTTAATCATAATGAGTTCGGTGGAGAGATTTTAGGAAAGCGTACTTTGGTGGCGTTTTGAGGATTGAAAGCAATTATCGGCAATAGTGGATCACGGAACATAGGATGGAAAGTCGGTAGTTTTTTAACACGATAGACTTCGTCGGATAGGAAAAACGGACAATGTGGCAAGCGAACTAGCTCTGGAATTGGTAGATGAGATTTTGCTAAGGCAAAGCATCTGCTGCTTACGAAAATAGTGCTGTTTAAACTGATGAATCCACATTTAGACTCGGGCTATGCATAAACAAATTGAAGTCCCTTCAGGGAACTTAATCACTTTTTGCCTATCGCTGGTGATCCTTTGCCATACCTGGTACTCCACAATGGCAGAATTTGAGCCATCTTCAAGGTATTGAAGTGTTTAACGTAAACTGCTGGATTGATAGAGATCTGTATTGTCGGTAGCTTATTCGTGCCCCGGTGGAATTATTACTTTTCCTATTCTTGTTTGAGCAGTGGTAGAATCGGCTTTGGATCTAAAATAAGGGGTTTTGCATATCTGTACCTTTGTAAATCCAGAACAAGGATCGCTTTGAAAGCGTTAAAACATTCCTTGCAAATTGCTGACTGAAATTTGTCTGCATTGTTGATGGCTTGGGCATTGACAACTGACTTATTCCCTGCCCCTATCCTTGTTTGCACTACAACTTCATCTCCGATATGTTTGTCTCTGTAATGACAATGTCTTCAATGTATTTCAAACTGCCAGTGTAAAAGTTACCTGCATCGATGATGACTTAGAACATCCACTGGCGCGTTACCTACTGTGCTATTTCTTGTTTAAAGTGTTAAAATCACTTTTTGGTCTAGAACGTGGTATTTCATGCTTAGTCCTCTGGTATATCAGCAGCAGAACTGAAGCTATCTTCAAGAAATTGTATTGCTTGCAAATTGGCGATGTAAACAAACTTCTGGATCCACTAAATGCGACGATTCTTGAGGTGGTTAATGCTCTGATCCTTTTCTTCCCTCTGCACCTCAAGAATTGGAACCCAAACCGGTGAAGCCCTCGACCGCAACGTACACTTGGGCGCAGTACTTCGGGATCACCTTCATTGTTGCACTGGCCTTTGGTCTGCTCATCCCTGTACTCTTCCTTGTGGGTATCATAGTGGTGTGCCGACGGCGTCATGCCTATCGCCACCACCACTGCATGACCAACGGCTCTGGCGGTGGCATGAGCGTCAGCGGTGCTGGCAGCGGCAGCTACGGTAACAGTAAGCTCTTCTCCGCCAACCTCTGGCACTACATCGGGGGCAAGGAAGTCGCTGATGATCCATTCGCAGAACACACCGCCAGCATCCACCGCCCTCCTTTCTCTGCCCACAAATTCTCCGATGGCACATTGGGCATGCGTGGAGATGGAACACTTGATCTCCCTGATGTTGTCATTCCTTCTGGTGCGTGCCACTGTTATCCTAATAACTCTATGAATGCCACCTAAACCATTTATTAGATTGTGGCCGGGTTATTCCCAAGATTATTATAAGGCGTGCCAGTCTAGAATTACGCCATGGTAGCTGAATCGTAGTCAAGTGTGCCTTGAAAAAGTGTCATCTATTTCTGACCCCTCGCCGTGATCATGCTTCTGCTTCGACTACTACAATTTCTCCGGCGAATCGCAGTTGGCTATGGGATGTGGATAACGAACAAGTAATAACCACTTTTTATTTTATCCGTGATAGTGACGGGGTTCCTAAATGTTGGATTTTCTGTTAGGGGAGCATTGGTAAAAGCTAGGAAATCTTCTGTTATGAATAAATTTGCTACACTAGTTAATTTGCGTAGGTAAATCTGCTTAAAAGCAGCAAAGGAAAAGGGTTTAATGTCGTCAGATATTGGTTTTGGATCAATGAGATTGCGGCAATATTGTATTCAACTCTTAAATATGACTTCTATCCGTTCAGATCTAGTCCTTTTCTAGCATTGATTATTGAACAGAAATTGACTTTAGAATGACTACTAAAGGTCAGTGTTATTCAACTAGCTCTTCTATTGTAAACCTTCCTCTAATCAGCTGCCCGTAGTGCACGTCTTCCTTTAGTGGTGCTTTTGTGAGGCATTTATTCTGAGAAATGGGAGTTGTTGTTCTTTTAAAGTGAATTTTCAACACTGGCACCGAAGTGTCATCTAAATTGTTAGAATTAGCTTCACCATCAAATACCTCAGGTGGCATTAACAGGACTCCACGCCACAGGCCGATTAGTGCCGGACTGTAAACAGCATACGTAAAGCAGATGTCATTTTACCATTGTCCGCTTTACTGCTTCCTCTACCGACAAGCCATCGTTCATGCCACCAGTGTCGTCGTTTCGTTCTTATTTATGCTTATCAGGTGCTGATCAACGTCGTACGAAAACGATAAGACTACTAATACTTCTGGATCGCGGCCAGCAGTACCTTTTATTACTTCACATCGAACAGTGTGTTGGTTCCAACAAGTCCCTTTTTAGATGCTGGTTGTTTCTTTTGTGAGGGCACTTGCCTAAAATGAAGATTCATTTAAAAATTGTGGTAACATGGTGCAGTTTGTGAGTATTTATGACCTTATTGTGATTCATGTCTTTTATCTGCAATTCGCTCTATTCGATACAGTGAAGAAAATATATTATATATTTGCATTTAGCAAAATGCTCACTCTTCTGCAGAAAAATTTCAATCCAGATCTCGTCCTATTAAAAACATTGGTATTGACTATTTGTGGGGTGATTTATATGCACTGCTACCCATGGTTTCAATGTAGCTAGCATATTCTTTGCGAGGGTATATCCCACCGTGCTGCCACTAATATGGGACTGCAGTTACTTTCCAAATGCGCTAATAAGATGTGGGGGTGTATCAACATTGTTGAATAATTTGAATACTTGAGGTCCTGATGCACCAAAAGCATTGGGTGCTAAAGAACTGGTATCGTTCCCAAGTCTGTTATCACTAGTTTTTATCTGAGTAGACCGACACTTGTGAAGTTGGGCAAATATTGTCTAAACGCTTTGGACTGACCTCCTCGATCTGTCTGCTTCTCCTCTGAAGGACGGGTGGTGGGTGGAACCCTGATACGCCAGACCTCGCAGCCAGCGTACAACGGAGCACCTTACGGCTACCAGACAATGGTGACAACGGGCAAGGCAATGCGCTATAATGGCGTGCCCATGGGCCCGCCCAGCAACATGCTCGCCTCGCAGCCCAACTTTACCATGGACTTTAACAGTCAAAGTGCCATGCCCAACATGGTCCAACAAGGTAACCGTTCCTCCAGTTGTTCATATCTTCATTTGCCTATTATCTGTCCAGCCTCATATATTCTCTATTCACTTGTCGAGTGTATGTCTATCTGTTCATTTAGCCTGTCCCTGAGACTAGCTCTGCACCTACTTTTTAGTCTATCTATCCAATGAGTTGGCTTCCTCGATCTCTCTATCTTTTTCCTTTCGGCTTATCTATTCACTCATTTACCTCCATCTATCCCACTTCTCCCTCTTTCACGAATCTTTTGATTCATGGCTGACATAGCTCTGCAAATTACCTATTTTATCTCACTAACCCGCCTTCCTGTCTCTCTATCTATCCTCCCCTTTCTCCCTGTTCAACCATATGCTGATTTATTCATCGAATCAGGCATCCTTCCACAGTTGCACTTCGTTATCAATCAAATGGTATCAAAACGGCTCCAAAGTGGGATGGTAGTTTTTCAGGCATCAAGTATTGTATACAGGAGAGGTCAATGTTGTAACCGACGCTCGGACCGTCAGACACCTAGCGTCATCCAAAAATACTGGTAATTTCGAGGGATCCTTGTAGTTTACTCGAAAAAATAGGAAGATCGGGGTAAAATCTGGAGATGGTTTACAAGGCGGGTGTGGGATCTATGGAACTTGTGATTGAAAAATCCCGGAGATGTGCTGTCATGCGCACTTAATATTACCCTTATTGTTTCCTAACATTGCTTGCTTCCCTTATAAAAATTAAGATTTGGCAAGAGCTTGAAAGGTATTGCCAGAAACAACTTATTTGGATCATATGTGCAACACTGCTGAAAGAGTTAGGAGTTAGCATTATGCCATAGTAGTGAATGAATTTGATTAAATGACTTTTCCGCATAACCCCTCTTCAATGCATTTCAACCATAAAATAAACCGTTTTTAATAGCTACGTCACCAAATAAGCTGATTTGAAATAAGTCTCAAGACAATTTTAATCATACCCCTGAACGCTAGCAGATAATTGAGTGTCGGACAGAGGAGAGCTATCTGTCCATATTGGCAGATTAGCAAATAATTCCTCTCTTTTACCTCCTTCGCTCGGGCAACCACCAAGTGATGCTGGTGCCTTATCTAGCTATCTGTTCAATTAGGTAACGATGTGATCTTTGATTTGTTTATGCATTTAACAGCGGACGCTGAGTGGTAGTATGGAAAAGTGAAGCACACTTTCTTCTCCATTGTAATGCATTTAAATTGATGTGTGATGTAGCTATTTTATTAATCACTCTTATGTCCGTCTTGCAACGATTACAATTTGTTACGAAATATTGCCCTTGAGTAAAGATGAGTGCGTTAATTTTCCTCAAAGAGGAAGATGTGCTCGAAACATTTTTTTACTTTGGTCTATAAGTGTGCTCAGCAAGGAAGCATGGTTTTCTACCTGGGCTCTTCCGAGTAAATCCTACCTTCTTCATAAACCTCAGGCTGGAAACAAGAACCAACTTCAGTTTTCGTCCGTCCAAAAGGGAGTGCTAAATGGTATATTGATAACTGGAACCTATCCTTTTTCCTCCTTTCCTTCAGGCAACCAACAAATGATGATACCGACCGCAGGCGCTCCCGCTCCAAGTCAAGTGATGGTTCAAACCGATGCTGCTCAGCAGGTAAGTCTCCGCTCTCATCTGTCTCTGTCCAGGCGTGCTCATTTTTTTGTTATCCTCAGCAGATGATGGTCCAGCCCGCAAACTACTTCCAGTCTCTGGCTCAACCAGCTACCCCGCTTTCGGGCTCTGGCGCCCAGCCCGCGATGGTCGCTCCCGCGGCTGCTCCCGCTCCGGCTGCTACTGGTGCCATTACCATGACGACTTCCGCCGTTCCGGTTGCTGCCCCTGCTGGTGCAAACATCGCCATGGACGACAATGGGCCCTTCGTGCTTCCCGATCCGCCCTCGGATCACCAACAGGAGCGTGATCAAGTAAATCTTGCGCACACACACACACACATGGACGTGTGATTTATACGTGTTTGTTCACTCGTTTTCTTAGGTTCTCTGTTCAAATCCGTGTATATGTAGGTGGGAACGCGGGGGTGGGGCTGGAATTTGTGTGGGCTGTGATTAGCATAACTGTGGAAAGATGAGTGTATCCCCTTTTCGCCTTTCACCTTTTCGGTTTTTCTGTCATTGGTAAGCCATGAATTACACCTCTGTCGTGGAGATTGCTGCAAAGTAGCCGGCCTGCTGTTGAGGTTCCCAGAGGTATGGATGTGTAATCAAAATACAACAAGAATAGGTCGAAATTTACATCATTTCCCCCACCAGTGTAACTTGATGATCCTCAACAACCTCTAAAATTAAATTAAACGTATATTTATCGAAAGCTCTTTAAAACTTGTAGAATCCTCTTCTAGTACTCTGTTTTTATGCAACAGATGGATGGGAAATATATTGTGAAATGATGTTTTGCTCTTAAGAGGGCATGAAAAATGCGTTCTAAATCAAATATCAGCACAAATGTGTTTAACATAAGGTAAAGCTTTCACTGATTCGTGAATCATAGCATTCTATATTCACTTTCTGGGGTTGAATACTCGCGTGTTTGCTGAAGGCAACAGTGTCACACCAATATTGCCGTCTTTTCACCCAACTGGTTAGATTTCTTCTGCAGTTTCCTGAACCAAATTGTCTCTAATCTTGTGTGATTTTGATGCTTTGGCTGTTTTGACGAAATTCCTGCTGTTAACGATTCTGTTTTTTGTCCACACAAGGTATTCATGAGTTCAAATTATTATTTTAGGGAAGGCTATAATTCTCTTACATAGTATTGGGAAAAGGAAGTTCATAACATTAGATGTTATACTACCTAAGATTATGTAAGTCAAAGTAGTTACTTTAATAGGTACTAAAACTAAACACCTCTTGTTTTCAACTGTCGTTGTCCTTTTAACGGATTACTTCAGAGGTTTCCTCATTTCTTGTGGTTACAGTTGAGCCTTTTGAACCTGTCTCACCAATACCAGTGTCTAAACTTGACAATCCGCTAGTAGAAGGCTGTACGATAGGTACCTCTGTCTTCATACTGAGAAATTGGCAAAGATGAGTTTGTGCTGCTGGTGTATGGTAAACTCCTGTTCCTCCTTGGCGCAATTGTTAGGGCCATTTCAACTCCCAAGTGATTGTCCTTGTTCTTCGCTGCATAGCCAGTCAGCTTCCTAGATGGAAACACGTCATTATGTCGCATTAATTCACAGTTCAAATTATTAGGAAATGTTTGGTGATCATAAAATATGCGCGGTTGAAATACCAACACCTCAATGAAATTCAAATTTATGCCACCATTACATAACAGACTGGTTTCTTTCGCTCACCGAAGGAAGACAAAATTCACTTGTGAGTTTAGGCATGAGTCGTATCTTTACTGTCATCAAGGAATAACGCATCCCATTATTTCTTCTAGCATCTCATCGAACTACATAGTTCAATAAAGTTTCAAGTTTTTCCCGCTAAAGGTGATAGCTATTTAGTGAGTAATATCAGAATTTAGATGTGAATCAAATTCAAAATACGTTTATTTTACCTGGCGGAGGGAAAGTACGTCCTTTTACTTGCATTTTATTTGTTAAACTCGATAACGTTTCAGGATGGTTGCGGTCGCAGATAGTGATCAACTAGGTTCCTTACTTGAGCAGCAGTTTCAGCCACTCAATTGGTGTTTTGCAGGTCGCGGCTGCCTTGGATGCGCTTAATGCTGCTACGGAGCCCCCACAACCACGCCAGACGACGTCGGCTGCAGCTGTGGCTAGCGGTGAGCACCCTCCACCGGGCTACGATGAGGCAGTGGGCATGGCAATCACCCGTCCCGCTGGCGGTGCTGATGCTGCTGCTGCAGCCCCGGTTCTTCCTCCACGCCGCACTGCTCCTGCCAACAACGCCGCCGTTGCTGCCGAATCGCTGAGCTTGGCGCAGCGCTACGGACTCCCGGTGGCCGAAATCTAAGCTGGCGAGCGGGCGAATGGGGGATGTATTGCATCGGATCCTGGCCGATCCAAGCAAGGCGGAATTCCTCACGTCCAATGCGCCATACTATTACCATTAATACTAATCGACTCTAAAATCGTCATCGCTTTCCTTTGCCATCCTATCTCGCTCTCTCACTCACGTTGACTCTGCTTGCATGCATTTTAGCTTTAGTAAACTGTCAAGGCAATCAAACGATCTTTCTCTTTAATCTCCACTTTTAATCATCTCTCCGCGTGCATGCTCTCCTCAGTTTACTAGCTTTTCAGTTTCACTTCCCCAATGACGCTATCATCAAGTAATCGTTAATTGACAACCTTGTTTACCTTCCATTTTTGTGTGTGCTTCATCGGCTTTTAACTCGAATTGTGTCATCGAATAAAGTTTATCCCTCATCCCATAAGACGACTCTTGGTATGCATTTGTTTTATTTATTTGTGGGTGTTGCTATGATACTGTTCCATCACAGAACCACCACTTCACTAAGCCAACTTTTTATTGTTGATTTCTAACTGCTGCCATTTAACTTGACGATAATTATGTAATACCGTAACTTTCTAATGATGCATCTGCACTTGCTGTCTGTGTTTGCGAATTTCTTGCCCAAATCACGAGGTATTGGTGACTTCTTCGTCTAGATTTGTTATTTTATAATTTACCCTCGCGTTTCGTTGCGAACTAAAGTGGTCATGTATTCTGAACGCAGTCACCTCGACTTGAGGTGTACAATGCTAATCTCATTTAACAAATGATTTATCCATAGCCTAGTTTGAATGCATCATCCTCGTCCCAGCCATTGCCGTACTGTAGACACTCGTTGGCCACCTTAAAGTTGGTGTTTGGAGCTGCATGACCTGCTACGCTGGTGCTGCAACGAAACGCTTGTATGAAGTTGGAAAGAATTTTGCCTTTTTTCGATGGTTTTTAAAAGCGCAATGGTGGTCAGTATCCACACGCACCAGAAGAGCTGAAAATATTCACAGGGAATTGTCCGAGGTTAAGTGTCTTCACTGTTTACCTGATTGTTAAGGTTGGGCAACGCCTTCATAGTGGGGATTGCTTGCTGAAAAGACCGCTCCTTTCCTTGACTACTGGTGTGTGTTGACAGCACCGGTGGAAATTTTCAGGCCACGTTGCCTGTGTGGCTTGACCCGGTGGACTTGGAAGCATGAGTCATCGGCCATATTTTAATCGACTCTTTGATTAACTTTATCCACGCCTTCATTGCATACGACTACAGCTACGGCTCTGATTGAGTGGAGCCGAGCTTCAGCTGTGCTTCTAGTTGCGTCTAAATTCCCATATCAAAGCCAATATAAGGTGGAAGTGTAATACGAAGAATGTCTAGTTTTAATATCCACCCTCTGGCGGTCGGTCCACCCTCCGTCATTTTAGGGTACGATTTTTTTGCACCCTGGTCCTCGTTTCCAAGTGATCGTTGTATGCTTTTATAAATTCGTAGTTCGAATATCTGTTATGTTATTCGCATCATCTCACAGTTGTTTTTTGGTGAAACGCTTTCGAATTCTTTTTGGCGAGGCGTCAATGCAAACTGTAATACCATTACAAAATCTTAGCCAAAGGGTGCAAGTTTGTTTGTATTTTGCGTTATTCTATTCGCGTCTCACGACATTTGGAACCGAAGGACTCAAAAACTTTTCATTTTCAATATTTTTATTCTCGCAAGTGTTTTTTGTGGTTTGGTTGCAAACTGCGTCCAGGTAAAACCGGGACTCATAGTTTATCAAGAGTAAAAGCTGATTTCATGGATCGCAAGCTGTATATACTTTTTGGCAGTTTTTTTTGTTATATTTGGAACCTATCCCAGGGTTTAACCACCTGGAAAGCAGTTCTCACAAGGAAAAGTTTACCGGTATGGCTTAACCATCTTATGCCAGTCTGGTTGTCTTGATATCCTTATCGTAATTGGATGTTTTCGCGAATGCTTGTGTTCATTTTTGAATAAGTTGTACGTCGGTCAGGTGTTTAACACGCTAAATCATCATGGAGATGGCTTGTATGCTGTTGGGTAGTAACGGGATCACCGCGTTCAAGATGGCCATTGCAATCTTTACACGTTTGCGCTATCCAGATCCCTTACTGTTGAAGGTCTCATCCCCATTTTGCACTTGGATTCTCCTGTACACTTACGCTTTCATTCACAAGCAACATCACACGTTGTTTCATGCGTGCACGCACTCACCACCACTATCACTGCTGCCGACTACCTTGATTAGGGATGTGTGGGGTGGTCCGCGACCTATGTGCCAGACATTAGGAATGGATAAGACATGCTTTTCCCATACCATTACCTACAGTGCCTTTAGGGTGTTATTCCTTATTATAAACGTAAAATTAAGCCTTCGTTTGACTGGAATGCCATCTGGCGCTTTGAACACTGGTCATTGCCTTTAAAAATCATAATCAGTTTTTTTTTTGCTTTTTCTATCAAAGGCATACGCTTGAAATTTACTTCTGGAAACACCTTTTTTGAAAAACAACCGGTAATCTTGATTTCCTGACGATTCTCTAGCGTTGAAATTATTCCAGAAAACCGTTACAAGGCGGAGACAGCTCGATATTAACCTAGTAGCAGCACAAGGAAGGTATTGGGAGCGATACAGTCGTCTGGCAGAATAGGCAACATGGTTCAATGCTCTTTTACCCGTTTGTTATCACTCCATTCCTTTCTTAGAGTCCAATGTACTCAAAGGGGGCCGTAGAAGTGCTGTCGGAGGGCGATCCAGAATGTCCTCCGCTAATTGGTCGTCCCACCCGACCCCATGCTCACCATCTCGCCTGTCGGCCACTTGGTAAGCGGCAAGCAGAAATGGTTCGCACGGCTCACATCTGTGCTGAGACTCGGATAGCTTTCGTCGGGAGTCTCACCGACACCGATGAGAAGGCGGTCGCTTACGCTCATCGACGTGCCATAACTGCGGCTGTGGGCGACCTTTTCGGTAATATTTCCGGCGCCCCGTTGCTTGCTTTTGACCTCCTCAAGTGCACCGAAGTAAAGACAGGGCGAACAGAGGGAGCGGAGAAGTTGGGTGAGATTGAGGAGCGACGGTTCAGTCTCCTAATCGCGCTGCAGAGGGCCCACGTGAATGAGATGGTTACGGCGCTCTCGATGATCACTGCGGGATTCTGTGGTGGCGAAATACTTCGTCTCTTTATGGCGCCCACCGCCCCGCCCGAAGTGCGTGCATCAGCTCGGGTGCTTGTGGATGTGCTTGGAGTGGCGGAGGCGCCCACTTCACTGGTGTCGGCAACGTAATGGAAAAGGCTTTCATTTCTGTTATCTTGGTATTGACAAAAGAGCCTCTCACTCAAAATTTGGGGTGTTTCCAAGTGGATTCGGGTGTCGTTCTGTATAACCCAGTAGTTACTAGGTTTCCTACGGTAGAATCTGGCCATCTGTTCCATATGATGACCAAGATATGGAAGTAGTTCTAGTGAGTTGCACACTTGTGCGGTTTCGGTATGCTGAGCACGGCACGGGTACAACTCATTTGAGTTAATTGAAGTAAGTGTGGGTGCCCTGTGCTGGCTGAGTGACTTCGGCGGACTGATTTCGGTGATCGTGGCCCATTTGTTACTTTGTGTCAGAGCATGGGTGTGGGCTCTGTTCGAAGGGCGTAAAGGCATAATTAATGGAGAAATGGTCTAGGGGTCGCAGAATGCTTGTGTGCTTGGGGTTATTTTTTTTTATACTGTCGGAGAGAGGGTGCATGAGTTGGCTGCAAGAAACAATCCTTGGGTACATTACCGCGTCTCAGAAGTGAAAGCGGTTCCCTATTGGTTCCCTTGAGCTGCTTTTGTGATAGCACTTATGAGAAAAACATTTCCATAGTCGAGGAGGCAGTAACTTGGTAGGGATCTGCCATAAACTCATATGCTTTTTAAACCAGGCATTCTAAACTCAACTAACCACTGTATCTTTTTCCATTAAAACAAAAAGTAATTCCAAATTTTGATTTTTTTGCATATTTTTTGGTATTCAATTAGGTTTAAAGTGGCTTAAGAGGCTTGTTTTACACGTTAGCCGAGTTTGTGCGCTTTTCAGATCCGTGTGACCTTTTGAGCGAGGTGCTCCGAATGAGGGAGTATAAACTTGTAGTTCTCGGTAGTGGAGGTGTGGGGAAGAGCGCTTTGACCGTACAGTTCGTCCAGGGAATATTCGTGGAAAAGTATGATCCGACAATTGAGGACAGCTACAGGAAAAAGGTAGAAGTCGACAACGAACAATGCATTCTCGAAATACTAGATACTGCTGGCACTGTAAGTCCTTGACGCAGTCGTCATTATTCTCGTAGGAACAATTTACAGCGATGCGAGATCTGTACATGAAGAATGGTCAAGGCTTTATTTTAACATACTCAATTACCTCTCTTCCCAGTCTATTTGATCTTGTTGATCTTCGTGAACATATAGTTCGTGTTAAGGATACTGAAAATGTCCCAATTGTCCTTGTTGGGAATAAATGTGATCTAGAGGATGAAAGAGCAGTTGGTAAGGAGGAAGGCCAGAAGCTCGCACGGCAATGGAATTGTTCATTTATGGAAACGAGCGCGAAATCAAAGATTAACGTTTCTGAGGTGTGTTCCTTGTCACTACTTCTTCAATACACATCTAAAATCGTTATGATCTTTTCCAAAAACATTGTTAACTAGTCTTAAGTTCTTGCGTTAGCAGTCCTTATCACTTAATCAATGTGGTTTAATCTGTTGTATCGATAGGATCACCGTTCTTCACAGTCATATACTTTGAGATTGTTTGTATTCCTTTTAATTACCTTCAATGATGGTACAATGGTTAAAGGTCGTGTTTACACCAGAATATGTTCATATCTATGACTCCTGGGCAATTATAAGGCCTTTTATCTCTTTAACCCACCACGTTTGATGACATTCTCCTACCTTTTTCTCCACATCCTAGGTTTTCTATGATTTGGTGCGCCAAATAAACAAGCAGCTTCCTCCAGTGAAAGGGAAATCAAAAGATCGGCGGTCGAAGAGCACTTGTTGTCTTGTTTGAACATGGCTTCTTTCTCCCTCTCTTTTCCTCCCTCCTGTTTCATGTGTGCGCCTCATCTATGTGCTTTACATCTCCACTGTCATTTTAACCTCTCTGATCCAGTGAATGGTGAACTCGCTTTAATTTTGATAATTATAAACTGTTAGCAGAACTTTATGTGATGCCTTACGCGTTTTGCGATCTATCAAGCAGTCGTTTTACATGCCTCATTAAAAGTAGCATGAATGAATTTAGGCCTCCATTGTAAATTGTGCTAATGCAGAGTGCCACTTAACCACACTTTTAGTAGGAGATTTCTTTTGCTTGTCTAACTTTTTTGCTTCCCTTTGGTGAAACCAGGGATGATAGCTAGATCAGGAAAGTACTATTTTGATAGTTCTGCCTTTCATTGTTGCCCTTGTAACTTTATTAGGCAATTGTATCCTTCACACTAAACTAAATCTTAGGTTTCCTTCTGTTGCCATATCTAAACGAGAATTCTGCCCCAGATTTTATGACTCTTTGGCACACATGTTTGTGTGTACTTTTAGTGGTCCGTCTTTGGCCCGTCGAATCACTTATTCACCCTCTCTGATTCGCTTATACATGTGTGGCTCATTCCATTCGTGGATAAGCGTGCGTCACTAGTGATGTGGACCATCGCATTGCAGTAAACATGTACGTGTGAATGAGCGACTGAAATATTTTGGTTAAGTAAGTGTATAAATTCACTTCTTTCTCTTGTGAATTAGTCAGCTCAATCCCTTTTGCCTCCGTATCTGCTTATTCGAAGTGGAATGACTAACTTTCGTAGAAGCTGTGGTATATGTCAATTTGAAAGTCACGCTTGGAGGACCAGCAGCACGTCTATGACCACCAGACTGAGAAGGTCCACGTGATGTTACATTTGTGGTCAGCCAGTTTTCCAAAATTTTGTAGAACCATTTGCCCAGTGGTGAAATCTAGCTAATGGGGTACGGAAACACTTTTGATATTTTATCACTGATTTTATCCACCCTTTGTTTAGTAAAATCATGAAGATTCTATGGAATTAAATGATCTGCTGCCCCACGTTTTGTGAGAACCTGAAGAATGCCAGTTGGTTGGCTGAGGTAATCTTTTTTGTAAATTTTTTAGCTGATTGTGCTGACTGATGACTCTAAAAGTTCACTTCATTGTGTGTGAGCTTGAACAATATCACTGTATAAATCATACTGTTTATAAATCTTCCGTCTAGTAGAACAGCGATAATGTAACTTCTGAGAGCATAAATCCCGAAACGTTTGAATACCTAGAGCCTCGATCCCGTTAAACTACGATATGCATCATAATGTAAAGCCTTGGTGCTTGGATATACTACGGCGCAGCCATCTATTCTGCTCTCATTTAGTTTTGACAGAGGCTGCGCATGGCTCTCATCTTACTATCGGTACTTCAAGATTTTATTCCATCATAATCCCACTTCAAGGGCGCCTTTAGCATTACAATGGATGACTTACATTTTACTTAAGGAAAGTATACATATTGTGCAGTTCTGTCTGAGGATTTTTTGTTCGAGACAAGAGAAGACAACGCAAATTCTTGTTTGCTTTCTTAATGGGAAGAAATACGAAAAAAACCAGTTAACAAAGGCCAACTCTATGCATACTAAGGTGCGAGTATGCACTGTCTGCAAAGCTTATTAATTTGTTTTAAGTAGACATTTCTGTCTATTTTTGGTTATTTGTAATGCTTTTTGACATTCGATATGGATAGCTTCCGTCAACTGGCTGATGTGAGCCCTAAGAAACACACTAGCAATTGTGAACCTCTTTAGCCAACCATCATCACGATTGTTGCAACTACGGAGGCACCCTAATGGCATAAGAGATGTAGTATGACTTGACTAGAGCATATCTAATCTAGATAAATAATTTGAAAGAATTGTGTTTATTTTTTCTACATCCATGATACGACTTTACTTACATCACTCATCACTGTGAAAATATGCCACTGGTCGCCATCGACTTGGGCTCCCCAGTTAGGAGAATAACACTTTTACAAATTTTAACACCCAAAGTATCTTCAAAAATTAACCTTTTCTGCTTTTAAGTGTTAATAAGGTGAAATGCAGAGTGATGCAACAGATGAAGGAGGGTAGTTAGATTACTCATGGAAACGAATGTTTAACTCTAGCGTTTATTTCCCAAGCATATGATGTGATTTTTACATCGCAGATGTACAGCACGACATGAAACGCGTGGTAAATTATCTGCGTCAAACTTGGATGTTAAGGAAAGAGGGACTCAACAATTTAAAGGTCATTTTAAATCTTATTATATGATTGATGTTAGAAGAAGCTATGTTTGGAATAAATCACTTTATGCATGTCTATTCAAGATAAAATGAAGACCAATTGCACGACCATTCTTCAGCCAAGAAACGTTTTACCCCAATATAAGTCTCGAATTCGGAAATAGTTTATGCATAAGAAGTGAAACATAGCACTTTAACGCCCCAATCCTTTTTTTTTAAAGGCAGAGGAAGACATAATACTAGGCGAGAACTGCGATAGCCAACGTACAAAAGGGTCGCGAAACAAAAATGACGAGTTAAACAAATAAGCAAAGTGCTACATAGCCCCCTCTCCTCCTGACCGTCGGCCCCAGCGCTTCCATTTAGGTTAGCCTTCTGCGTCGGTCACCACAGCGTGGTTGGTTCTGTAAGAAAAACAAGCACGGACCAGTTGCACCAGTCGCTGACTTTGAGTGCAGCTGAGAGGATATCTGACCGCAAGATCACTGAACACACTTGATAAGTTCGGTAAAGTTGGAATTTCGTCCTGTTTTGGAATTGTACTAGAGGAGGGGAGAATGCGCCAGTTATCAAACCTGTCCGTCGCTAGTCATGAAAACAGCAGGCCAAAAACGGATTCGTGTAATAAAAGATGGGTTTTAAAATAGCCCAGTGAAAATAAGGTTTCGCATCTATTAATCCTTTCCACATTGTTCTCACTTCAGTGTTACCCAGGCCAATACCCATCTGGCTTCTATCCAGCCAGTGGAGAGGGAGAAAAGACATAGCGCGTTCAATTATTTGACATTTCCCAACAGCTACTGTAGGCAATAATACAATCAACCTTTCTGGATAGTTCAAAGCTAGAGCCGTTTCATTGGTTAATGGCATTCTTGCATAGCACGGGAGTGAGGCACTTGCCGAAGGTAGATATCGTCTTTACGCCCTCCCTTATAGGACGTCACTGATTTTCCCATTTGTAGCACGCATCATTCTTCCGTCGCATTAAGATTTAGCAACAAATAGAGATATGGCTGTTG